GCAATAAATGTGTCTTTCTAGCAGAACCCCAAAGAGTTATACAGTAGGTCAAATCGACTGGGCTAAGAAAAGTAAACAATTTTTAGAGTAGCCCCGTTAGCACTACCCTAAGTTTACAGAAAACAAAAATTAGTTTCCTAATCTTAGAGGTCACGGATTTTATATGCTCTCTCCATGACATCACACTATCAACAGTCACCCCCAAGTATTTTACAGAGGAGACTCGAGAAATTGTTTCACAATTGCATGCCTGATCAGAAGAATCTATGCATGTACGTAGGTGAGCTCGAATGTGAAAGATTGTCCCGGCTGATACTGCAATCTTGGAGCAAATGTGACAAAGCAAGATTTTTTAGCATTAAGTGTAAGGAGGTTATTTGCTAGCCACTCCTTGACTACACTTAAAGCTAGCTCAGCACGGACACGAGTTTCCTCCCAGTCATGACCCTGCACGAGAATGGCTGTGTCATCAGCATATGTCACAATTTTACAGTTTGAAAGAGGCAGTTGGCATAAATCATTAATATATAGCAAAAATAGGGTAGGTCCAAGGACACTACCCTGAGGAACGCCAGATGTTATAAACTTATCGTTGCTTATAGTATTGCCAATGAAACACTTTGACATCTATTACTCAGATAACTCCGAACATTTCAAGGACCAAACCTCGTATGCCCAATCGCTGCAGTTTGTCCAACAAGAGAGGCACGGAGACAGTGTCGAAAGCTTTCGATATGTCAAGGAAAAGGCATAAAGATTTCTGATTATAGTTTAAGTTCTTGACTATTGAGCTTGTAAGTTCAAGTATTGCATCTTCTGTTGATTTTTGTGACCTAAAACCGAATTGTTTTGAAGAAATAATATTTTTAGATTCTAATAACTAACCAGTCTTTTATTTATTATTTTTTCCAAAATTTTGAGAAAACTGTAAGTACAGAAATGGGTCTGTAATTAGTCACACTGTCTACGTCCCCATTCTTAAATATCGGGTGAACAACGGCTTTCTTAAAAACATCCGGAAAGGTACATGACGACAGACAAATGTTGAAAACGTAATTCAGTATCGGAACCAAAACATGTCTAGCAGCGATAACTAAAGCCGCAGGAATGCCATCCCACCCAACTGCACAGGTTGGTTTGGGCCTCCGGTACCCTCACTCACACGACAAAACACAACGCAAGTGTTGCTTCACGTCGGTTTTCTGTGAGGCCGTGGTATCACTCCGGTCGAGCCGGCCCATTCATGCCGAAGCGTGGCTCTCCCACGGTCGGTCTCCACGGTTTTCTTTTGTAACCGTGAATAGCGTAAAAAAAATTGTAATAATAAGTGAACAGCCTAATTATCAATTTCGTCAGTAAAAAAATAGTATAATAAGTTACATTGAAATTTCATTGTTTCATTAAATAATAAAATAATTATTTTTTGTTAGGTAGGTTACCTGACAAAGAATTTGATGATGCGGAACCCTAAATCGGTGCACTTTTGATTTAGGTACCTACATTGGTGTTCGAGTTGCAAAAATTACCTATGTAGTTTTGGTCATCGCTTCAGTCGCGTCGGAGACTTTCATCGGTGTACTTGTGAGTTTTCAGAATTTAGAAGGTCAACTTACGTTTTCGTTCTTTCAGGACTTTTGGTTTGTTTTTTTATACTCGTTCTGTTTACCTGTGTGCGGTCAGTGCAATGAGTTCGTACTCAAATGCCTAATTATTCCGAGATGATATTGTGTGTTGGTGCTTATGACGGTAATCTTTTCATTCCATAGTGTGATACAGGAAGGCCGGCCGAACACCTATTCCATCGAGACTGAAGATATGATTTTACGTCGAGAGTAACACAGTCTGTGTCGAATCGAATGGAGATGTGTGTTTTATGCGGTGGCCGGCATATCGAGATCTTGGATTGATAAAGTGGAGGTGAAGTGTAGGTAATGTTGACAAGTAAGAGCTAAGATTTTTAAATGCCCGGCCTTACATTTTTGGCCGAGCTTCCTGGCTACACCCCACTGTTGAGCAGGCCTTTCTTATTCTGTTTTCTCTTGCATTCCAGTTCTCGCTTTTTTACACCTTTCATTCCTCATTCCTGATCTTTCTGTCATTCTATTCTCTTTCATTCCTCGAGTGACTGGGATTTGTCACATCTATCTCTATTTCTAATCCTAGCAAATATTTTTTTTTATTTTTTTTTTCTTATTCTTCTTATTTTTTTATTAATTAATGGAGACTCATTTTCTTTATTTTGATTTCTTTTACATATATCTTACATTTTTATTTATCTTTTCTTATTCTAGCATGCTTATTTCTATTTATTTTATTATTATTTTTTTTTCAGTTTATTTACATTTTTATTGATATTACATATTTCTTTGCATTTCTTTCTTTCTTTTTACATTCTTTTTTTGACTTCTGGTCCTTATATTTTATTGTGTTTTCTTAATCTACTTATAATTCTATTTTACATTTATTCCTTGCTGTTGTGTTATTTACATCCTCTCTTATATGTTTTCTTAGTTTAATCTTAACATTTTCTGGTTTTCACTTATTCTAATTATATTACTATTAATATTTTCTTTTACAGTATTCCTTATATTTACTTATTCTATTTTTTATGTTTGATTTTTCCAGCTTTGTTTTTTATATTTTTATTACCTTTTCTTTTCTTTTTCTTGCTTTTTTATTCTATATTGTTTATCTATAATCTATTGTTTACATAGTTATTCTATTATTAATTATTTTTGCCCCCTTAGTCTTAATTCTAGTTTACTACTTCCTGTCCTGTTTCTTTCTTTGTTTATTTATCTTCTACCTTATTTTTGTTTTATATTATTTTTACTTCTTTCCTATTGTTTTCTTTGTCTTGTCCTGTTATTTATATCTTATTTTATTTATTCTATTGTTTAATTGGTCACTTGAGTATATGCTAATCATATACTCTTGTGTTCCTAACTTATCCTGTTTTCTTATATTTCTACTGAAATATTTTTGTGTGTGTTGTGTGATTAGGACGCTGCCTCTAGGTATGTACCTGTTTAATCTTAAATTGTTTTATTTACAAATAAACTCATACGCAGTCAAGTGCGCGCGTCGGCGACATCAAAGTGTATTCTAGGAAACGAGAGAGAGTGAGAGGTAATGAGAGAGAGAGAGAGAGAGAGAGAGTGAGTACGCCGGGACGGCACGTATAAGCTTTCAGGGTTGTAGCATATTAATTGAAAACAAATTGTTCAAATATTTGTATGAAAATCACAATTTACGTGAAATTGTTTATTGACATATTATTTACGTTCTTTGTGCTAAGCCATGTTTCGGCATTATACATGTATTACCAAACACGCTGTATATATTTACCCAATATGTATCAAAAATATTAGATATTCGTACAAAAGAACATGACTTCTGGCTAGAATGACGTTTGTGCAAAGTATAACGTGCAAATAAGTTTTCCTCCCGAAATTAAGAATTTCAAAAAAGCTATGATCAGTTATTAAATCTTATAATCATAATTAAATCATCTTAATAAAAAATCAGCAATCAACAAGAAACGTCCGTTCGAAACAAACAGCAAGGTTTAAACTTTAAATTTCAAAGACACGTACAGTTACTATACTATCGCTACTGAACTTGGATGTTGACGGCGGATATCGAGCCAGGTGTTATGTTAATTCAAACGGTGGGTGTGTTTTTTTGGTTCTTAGAATAATATTGTTAATAATAGATTGACATCCTACTCAACCTACTCTAGAAATCAGTTTTATTGAAATATATTACTTATTTAGTACCTAGAGTAGTCATGCTCTCTTAAAAATCTCTGCAATGATATCGTGCGCATCGGGTAGTTACGTTCCCCAAAATATAGATGAGCGAAGCGATGGCTGAGTCATGCATGTGTCAAGCTCGTCAACGAGTGCCAGTGGGGGTGCGTCTGCACTGGACTACTTAATTTTCTTTTATTATGAATATTGTATATTGATTTGTCAATGAGTATGTAGAATTTTTGATATTATAATGGAAAGTGATCTCATAGACTAATTAAGTCACATACCAATAAGACTTCTCTGTGTGAAATAAAAGAGGGAGAAGAAAAGCAGCCCTTGCTGAGTTTCTTGCTGTTTCTTCTCAGTACAAGATCTCCCGCCTTAGTTTTGCAAACCATTGGAAAAGTTTCGACTTTCACAAGTGCTATGTTACAGCCTAGACTGAATTGATTTTGATATTTATATTAATATAATTCGACGTGTGAATGCATATTAGCACATAAAAAACAAGCACATAAAAAACAAGCTGAATTCAGCGCTCCGCTTTTGGTTCTTGATTCCAAACATAAAATTTGGATGAATCAATTAAAGTTACGAGCAACCAATAAGTTGGCTCATGGCTAATGTTGACATATAAACCAAACATCGTTCCTTTACACGTAACAAAAAAACAACTTCAACTTACGATTAAAATAAATTCAAACTTATTTGAAAGTTAGATATTATAAGGAACCCAAAACAATGTCATATTTATTAATTTTCGATACTCAATTTACTTTTGTTACGTCAGAAACAAAATTTGAATGAATATCATAAACAAAATCCAAACATCGCGAGTGACATCCATGAATTTAAAAAAAAAACCTCTGTGCTCACTTCCATTATGTTAGTTTCTATTTTCTTCTATACAAATAAAAAATAAATTTATTCAAAGATTACTTTGTATTAATCAAGTTGCGTTTGCGTAACTCGAAGAAATTAAACTCGACATTAATCCGAGTTATCAGATCCATAACAACACTGACAATTCTATTCTCTTTGGTTTAACGGTCATGAATTGACGTTTAGATCCAAAAATTTGTGCTGCCATCTATTGACATAATTTTTTGTAGTTTCTTTATTTTTTTAAATACTTCCTCATTTAAGGAACTTATACTATGTCCATCTAGATCCCTTTGCCATTATATAAAACAAACAATCATTTTGCATTTTTTATTTTACTTTCTTTGTAAACAAATCTGAATTATTCTAATTCTGAAATAGATAACTAAGATAATAAGTACTCACATACTGCCTTTATTAATTAATATTATTTTGTCTGTATGTCAACAGACTTAAAATAGAAATTAGATTCTAAAGGTGACAGAACAATCGCTAAAATGTTACTACGAAAAAATGTACACCGGCTATTAGCAACGACATTTAACAATAGAGCTATTCTTTCTGTTCGTACATTATGCACTAATAAAGAAGAAAATGTTAAAGATAAATACGATATAATTATTGCCGGTGGTGGAATGGTAGGATGTACTTTGGCCTGTGCTTTGGGTAAGTTACTAAAATATTAAAGAACTTTTCAAAATAATCTAATATAATAGCTTTCATATAAAATTTAATGAATACCACACTTTTAAACATATAAATATTGCTATTTTGAAGCTAAATTAGTTTAAAATAGTTTTATATTATTTTGGACTGCTAGGTGAAGTCTTTTTTTGCCATAATAAAAACAAAAGTTGAATATTAATTATTACAATGTGTTCAAGGTAGTAAATAATTAAATCAACATCTATGATACCAATTTTAGGTAACTGTTTATTTATATTTATAGAGATGATGCATAAAGATATTTCACTTAAAAACTAAACTTTGACTTTGTATGCAATAAACAGTTTAAAAATCTTTGTTTATTGTATTGTGAAATTGATGAAATAATATTGTTTACACTATATTATGGTTATGATATCAATGGAGGTGTCAAAATGTTTCTGTATGATTATAGGTAAGAACTCATTAATGTCGCATTTGAAAATACTATTATTAGAAGGCAGTCCCAATCAAAATTATCAGTTGAAACCAGAATACAGCAACAGAGTGGTAGCCTTGAACCAGAATACCAAATCTTTAATGAGTTCTCTTAAAATATGGAGGCATGTTGAAAAAGCTAGACTGCAACCCATCAGATATATGCAAGTGAGTTTTTTTATAATAAGGAGATCCTAAATCAACATATTTATTCTTAAGCCATCATTTAAAAATAATAAAACTACAATATTTAGACTATTTTAGTGATAACAGAGTTTATCATTTTATATCATAAGGCTATCCATGTATTCAAAATATATATTTTAATTTGATTAAGAAATACTAATAAAAGTATGTAGGTAATTACTAAAATTTATCACTGTCTGTCACCAGACTGTATCTCTTCAACCATGATAGCTAGACAGTTAAAATTATTACATTAGATTTGTTTTCTGTTGCTAATGTAACAAGTTTTTTTTTTTACAATATTGCTAGACTATACATATATAGAAATTGCTTGACAAAACAAAATTTGATTAGTAAAATTGTCACTATTGCTTTATCTGATATAAATAAAATTGGGGTACCTTCAAATTATATTAGTGTAAATATATTTCATATTCATGATCAATTTCTATTTCACTTGTTTAATTTCAGGTTTGGGATGCTTGCTCTGATGCACTCATATTGTTTAATAGTTCTGACATTCTAGATGATGATATAGCTTATGTTGTTGAAAATGATCTCTTACTGCATGCAGTGAACACTGAACTGACATCTTCCAAAATAAGAAATGTACAAATTGTATATGGTGCTAAAATATCGGACTATCGATTATCTAAAGATGATGGCAAAATTGCCACACATAACATAGTGAAGATGACCAATGGGGATGTTTATGCTTGTGATCTACTGGTAAGTAAAAACGACTTTAAAAAAAATATTTTTATAATTTAAAACATTAAATAAATACAAAAGTATTAAAAGTGTAGAGATATTAACATTCATATTATTGTCTTACTATGGCATCAAACCCTGTATTGTACTGTTTTTATTGGACTCATATAAATTATATTCAAGGAGGTAGTATATCATTCAGTTTGTTTTCAATTACTTTCAATTTGTTTTCTGTAGACTCTGTTAATTTCGTTACTTTTTTTGACAGTTCCGCTAGTTGATTTTTTATATCGACCATGCATATTTCTTGTATGCCACTTATAGTCAAAGAGACTGGTCTGTTTCTGCTTTCTATAGAACTTGAAGTTTTTTTTCGCCTTTCAATTTGCTGGCCTTCGTTTGAAAAACGATCGAAAAGGTAGCTTTTCCTTTTGACTTGTTGTTGAACATTCTCTTCACTTTCCTTACACTTTTTAATTTGACATTCATAGTTGTTGTTTCTTCGGACACTTCGTTTTATAACTTTTCTACTGGCAACCATTTTATATATAGATGAGATCAAATCTTTTGGAATCTGTAAAGAACCATCACAAAATTTGTTAACTGCCAATTTCGTTTTATGAATTTATACACATTACTATGTTCATGAATAACTTTATAGAAGATACTCTGCATAACAATAGATTTTGGCTAGGGTTGATTCAACAGTTGTACTATATTTTGTTTTTTGTTATTTGTATATTCATGCTGCATATTTTCATACTGTCAACAAAATCAAACCTATAAGGTCACTTATACCCGTTTTAACTAAACTTAGGAGTCGTCCAAATCTGACACCTAAATATTTTTACCTTTGTAAAAATATGTTTCAGAAGCCACCTAACGGCTTTAGGCAAGACATTTGCATAATACATATACATTACTCTTTGGCTTTAACGGATGAGTCAAGGGATAAAATCAATGTAGTAAGTTAGAATCAGGGAGTTTATTTACTAAAATTATTATACAAAACAATTATAAATGGAGGTTGAAGACTTGGTTGCTTGTGTAAATACAAGATCATATATATATTTTCTTCTTTTATTACCTCAAAATATATATTTTTGTTATTGTCACTACGTGTAAAGGCCACTAACTTGACATTGGCAGAATTATGTAAACGCAAATTACATGCCATATATTAAGAAGAAGAGGAATGGACGCATGCAAAATCATGAACAAACATTGCATAACTAAGCAAGTGCTTAGTAAGGCATACCTAACGTTACAGGTTTGATGAAACCACAAATATGCTTAAGCTATTCATAATAATTAATGGTTTCTAGTTAAGTTATGCCTTGTTCAGGTTAGTGAAAAGGGGATTTAGAGTCATGTAATTTAAGAAGAACCAATATTAAAGTTTATCATTATTTTAAACATTGAGGCTTTCATATTTGATGAACTTCATATGCAAGTTCGCGAACTATATTATCGTGCAACTTAATTAACTCTTCCTCATTATCTCTGTGTCTTTGAGACTTATCCTGTTAATCTCGTGTCTTACCCTATTTTCTCTGGGGTCATTTGGCCTGATGTTTAAAGTTCGTGTTTGACTTGCGGTCAATAATGCCCCCCATCGAAGAACTGCTAATAGTTGGCGAGGTGCGCAAGATAGCATCGAACTAAACAACATACTCTCAAGATGGGCAACTAGCTGTGTCTGTCGTATTAAGCGGTTAAGCCCAGCACTTTCTTGAAGAGCCTACAAGACGCAAAACAGATAAAATTATAATATTTCCTTCTCTACACAAGAGCAACTAGCTGTGTCTGTTGTATTAAGCAGTTAAGCCCAGCACTTTCTTGTAGAGCCCACAAGACGCAAAACAGATAAAATTGTAATATTTCCTTCTCTACACAGGATAACATCAAACCTTTTTAATGTTTGTGCAAGGTATTTTCAATAAGAAAGTTAATATACTCCTATAACTAGGCAGGACTTTGAATAATATAGATTATTTATATATTCAATAATGATATTTTAATGTACCTGGATATCACTAACTGCTAAACCAACTAATAGATTTGTCAGTATTACGGTCACAAGCAGTACAAATATCAGGAACATCCCATGAGCTGTCAAAGGGTACTGAATCTGAGCGTCGCCATTATTGTAAAAAATGTCTTCATATTCGAGTTCTCCAGACATCATCATCACTGTTTTTACGAATCCAGCCGGCAAGTGAAAAGCTGGATAATTACTAAATAGAACACTAAATGCCAGGCCAAATGCTATCAAAAGACAGCTATAAGCGAGGAGAAATGTGGCAAAATTTACAGAAACTGTAACAGAAATATAAAGGTTGGCAAAATTAAATATATATACATATATATAATTCAAAGAACTAAGACGTAGTTTGCGGACCTGTTGTGAACATTTGGACATATAAACCAAATGTTGGAAACCGGCCGATGATCATCATTAGTTCGAGCCAACAAAAGAATATAGTGACAGCTGCAATATCATGCTGCCAATTTGACGTATTCCCTTTAATTACTACGCCATTATCTATACCCCAAGGGATCTGAAACACAAAATGTGAAAATAAATAGTTCTTCAATTATATAATATGCTTTTAAATAGAGAATATACTCAACTGTACATAAAAAGACACCAAGAATAATCAAACATTGTAGCCAATTTTCCCATTGACGAATATAAGCCGACCAATCTAAGCATGCTTGAAATATTTCTTTACACATAAAACATAGATTTAATATGATAATGAGATACTGAATTGGTCGTACATACGCTGGTACATCACATGTTACGTCTTCACAGAGATATATCTCTGAAAAATATTGTACTTATAAGTATATTCAGAAATAAATTGTGAGAAATAAAATTAAACTATGATGTTAATACATACGTAAAATATAAATGCTGTATAACGATATGAATAATGCATGGTAAATAAAACTTAAAACGAAAAATTTTCGTATACGACGCCATTTCAAGAACAAAAATGTTTCAGCTACAGGATGTTTCAAAACGTCTTTCCGCCCAACCTGTAGAATTAATTAAAATTAAAATAAATTCATGTGATATAAAATTAAAAATATATGCAGGATAAATTGTTTCTAAAACAACCTTAAAAAGTTACGTAAACTTATTATTCGGAAGTAAATTCCAAAGTGGTCAACTGTTTTGTAAAGTATCTATTGTATTCACAAATAACCTCGATAAATGCCAATAGTAGCTCTGCTTCTCCCCTAGAAAGGCATGGTACCAACGGCCTAAAGTCGATAGTGAGTTCGCAATCCACGTCTCCCAATTCGTGCTCGCTTACGTGGACGGCGTCATCAAACTTGCACAGGTAACGGGGGATTACATCTGGCACACGACGTACTATAAATGAAAGGGCTGAAACGCCGCCATTCGTGCGTAGTGTCACGTCACCGCCGTAATCTGAAACACGAAAATCCTTAGCTTAATTATATATTACTATATTTCGTCAATTAAATACCAAGATACTAGTTACTGATTATGACTTTTCATTATATAGCCCTCAAAACTCATTCTAATATTACAGAAAGTCATAAAATACTGTATATCAAAAGAAACTTACCAAGCAACAATAACACACAAGCTGAAAATTCATTAAGAGCAGCTATATGTAATGGAGTATATCCAAAGTTGTCTGGAGCGTTAGGGTCAGCGCCAACTGATAACAGTAATCTGGCCACATCGCACGCGCGAGCTCCTCTCACTATGGCACCATGAAGAGGAGTCCGGCCATCACTATCCCTAGCTTTAACATCTGCTCGTCTTGATACCAATAACTCTACTACTTCCACAGATTGAGCCAAAGCCGCTGTAACAGATTTTTTAATTTTGAAAATTCTAAAAGTTTGGTTATTGCAATAGGTGGTATATACATTTTTAGACACTTCTTTTTGAAGGAACCGATATGTATGACACTTGGCATGTGATTTGAACCAAAATAGCGATTTTCCTTGCAAATACAGTCAAGGACTATGCTACGTTGCTATTTTTACGCGCTACCTCTAACCACTGCACCTCGATTAGACCCAAAAGGGTGATGCTGTGTATAGTTCATCTTATCTGCCATTATAGTATCTACAATATGTATACAAACTCACCAAGATGAAGCGGAGTCTGTCCTCTAAAATTGGGCCAGTCAATTCGAGCTCCATGGTTAAGAAGGAGCCGAGCACACTCGGCATGACCATCTTCAGCAGCTAGATGTAACGCAGTTGCTTTACCAGGACCTAGGGCAGCGCGAACGTCAGCCCCTGCTTCTAATAAGAGTTTAGTACACAAAGGTGAACCTAAAGAAGCTGCCACGTGTAGCGGAGTTTCTGTAAAGACCTATAAACAAAGAAACCATTAATAACTAAATCATAATTGAAGCTGTTGGTATAGTTTGTTTAGACATTTCTATCAACATTGCATACGTTTACTTTAGAAATAAGAGTGAACTAAAACAGACCCACCTGTGGTGTATCTGGACAAGCGCCCGCTTCCAACAATAACTGGACGACTTCCGCTGCGTCACTCAGCACAGCATAGTGTAACGGAGACCGTTCGGTTAGACCTGCGTTCACGTCCGCGCCGTGATTTAACAACACCTGCAATAATAAGTGGAATAATAACTGTTTTTTTAGGTCACAGAATTTTAGTCTGGATATCCTGTGTATATCCTGTTTACCTTTACGCAAGCTAAAGATTTAGCGCTTGCAGCACAGTGCAAAGGTGTGGCCCTCCTTTCACTCGATGTATCCCATCTGTTAGGATCCGCTTTATAATATAGAAGTAATTTGACACATTCTTCGCTCCCTACTAAACAGCTCAAATGTAAACAAGTCCTGAAAAATAAATATTTATAAAACTTTACGAATTATTTTGATACATTTGTTTATGTTTCTTACCTGCCAGCATCGTCTGAAGAGTTCGGATCTAATCCTAAACGTAACAATTTTTCTAGTAAAGAACTCCTTCCTTGCCAGCAGGCCCACAGTCCAGCAGTCACAACTCCTACGCTTTTGTCTGTTTGGATTGCAAAAGATATAACTTGTTCATATTGTCCGGTATCTATCAAAGCTGCTATTTCTTCAGCGTGTGGTAGTTGATCCAAAGAATAGTTGATTTCATCTACAACAAAAGATATATTTTTATTATAGGGTACATATTCTATTGAATTTTTTGTGAATTGAATGTATATTTACTACTCGTCGTTTCGGTCGCGTGCGTCATTGACCCAATCTTGTATGAGCGACACATATTTTTTCTTTAAAAATATGATTCTCACTTGGAGTTACATAAGATATGCGTTTGTGGACTTATTTTTATTTTATTTTATGGCAAAACACTACAAGTTATTCCTGATCTAATATGTCATAAGAAATCATAACTATCTACATAAAAGGTTGTTTATAAAACACATAGTTATACTTAGCTGTACACTCACCTAGTTCCCAAATATCCCTTGAGGGTTTTACTCGTAATCTCTCAGCGAGGTCCACAGCATGGGCGGACTCATCGCTAGAGATGTACGCCGCTTCCACATCGTCGTCCGAATCCTCGGGCAGTTGACCCATACCAACGCACCATCGCGAACTGCCTTGCCGATATACCTACACGCCACTTACGTTAAATCAAACAATAGAAACAAAGGCACGTGTTTGATGTATAACTAAAATAAACAAACTTGTAACTGACAATGATAAATCTTTAACATTGAACAACATTTTTAAAGATTTAAATATGATAACCTTCTTTTTATTCTTTCTCCTGAGAACGACATCTGTATCCATTTATTAACTAAATCCGCGTGAGTGCGGATTATAAGCGCGCGCTTTACTGAAAGCTCTCATCCATTGATAATAACTGTCGTCCCGTCTAGAGTCCAAGCTATTATATCGGGAAATTCCGTAGATTCTCACGTAGATCGTGATGCTATAAATCTCTTGGCTTACTGACGAAAGCTGTTGGCGTACATACGTTTAGCATAGTATATATAAACGTCTATTGTCAAAATTGATAGATACTTACGAGAATTGCAAACTGTTTGTGTTCTAATTATTTTCTCGTAATGTTGAAATTACTTATTAGTTTGTAATAATTCCTTAAGTACATATATATAATAATTTTTATGTATAAAATATATGACTTGAAGAGAATTCAATATACTAATATAGGAGTAATTTAGTTATTACTGCAATCTTCTTAACTATTGTAGTGGTAATAAAAAAAAGCTTTGATATATATTTGTATTTGAATATCACAAAACTATAGGAATAGCTTAAACATTAACACACATTACATAGAGCAATTTGCTTTGTTTGCTTACTTTGTACAAGCACGTGGCGAAAGAACCGCGGTTGGTATATAGAAACAAATCATAGTTCCAATTTTAGGTCAGACAACCGCATTAGCGCCACTGAATTGTCGTTATTTGGGTTAGTGATTCTGAAAACGTATTAATTGTGTATTACTTTGGCAAAGAAAACGGTAATATTGTGTCTAAGAATGTGTGCTTTATCACAAACGAAAACATTTAATTGTTTATTACTCGTATTAATTTAACGACCACTACCGTGACCTTTTTTTGATTTTTTAGATTGTAGACTTTATTCCCTGGTGGATTTAGAGCAAAATACCTTCTCTGTATGTTTTAAGCTTGAATGATTTCAACCGACTTTTTTTCTCGATCAATTGCAAGTAGTTTCTATCTGACGAACAAAATATATGATTAGTTATCAAATGGTATTTTTAAACATACATCTTTATAAGCTTCCGTAACGAGCCAAGCGGTCTTATCATTTACACTAGTTTACATCTCAGTCCTATTGTCATCACAGTAGTTGGGTTTTACATTTGGAAATTAACATTTCACTTATAATGAGATGAGTATGAATACAATAAAATTATATTATGCTAGGTTTGCACTGCAGTACAACCTTGTATATGTTGCATAATTTAGAAAAAAATCTAAGCTATTGCGAATCTTAACGTCATTTGTTAATTGGTTAAACAGCTTTGCTCCCTTATAAACTATAGTCGTTTTCCCGATGATTATTCCCGATGATGATTAATTTAATTTTCTGTTTTTCCCGAAAATATGTGTATTTTCCTTTATATTTAATTGTATCTTAGATTTGAATGAGTTAGTCGTTATTTTCTCTATCATTGTACATTTCTAATATGTATATAGTTGGGAGAGGTTAAGTTATTTACTTTTCTTGTATTAGTTAGATTATGTATAATCTCTAGATTTTCAGGTGCTAATTGATAGGACAATAAGGCTTCTTTTGATACTGAATTACCAAATATGGTCTGGAGTAATCTGATATATAATTTATTAATTTTCAACGAAATAATCTTGCTTAGATTGATTCTTGACACATTCCGCCAATATACTTATAGAAGATATCATCAATACTTCAACACGTAGGTTCAAACGTTAAATAAGAGGGCAAATAAGTGGGAGTCTACCAAGTATTCTAGGATTTATTTATATTTAACTATAAGACTATATTTACTTTGTCGTTGATTACAAACTTATGGAACAGCAGAGTAGCACTTTTCTCATTATTTTTTATTTCGCTAGACAAACTTTTCTTGCGTAAATATATCACTTTACTGCATTTATTATTTGATATCCAGCAGATAAATGATTGAATTCTATTTTGGTTTTTGTTTGGACATACGTCTAAAATCTTCACAGGCGTTCCACATAACTTCTTGCCAATATTTTTCATATAACGCCGAATACATTTTTCTTTAAAGCTGTGCCAAAACTGAATACCAACCAACCGAAACAATCAATTGGTGGATATAATTTATCATCAGCCAACTTATATAACGTATATAATGTTAAGTGTCTAGGACTGACGGGTCCTGATACGATAATGACAACATAGCTGCTTCATGGCTCTGCCCTAGAGTTTGTATCTGAAGCGCGAACAGTAGTATAGTAGATGTTCTCTTTAATCGCAGTACTGTTAACAATACAAAGTAAACCATAAATGAAATGATTTTTTTATCACTCCAATATGGTCTGTCTTGATAGACATCTACGGCGGAGGAATTCGATAGTGCAGCGGTTAGCATTTTCAGCGCACAACCATTCATAAGGGCTGACTGTTCATAGGATCGGTTCTTATAAAAATATTATTTAGTAAAGTACCTATGTTGTACGGTGCATACATTAATATCACCAATCCACACTGCGCCAGTTATGGCCCGCTTTCTCTATACGCTCCAAACATAAGGAAGGCCTGTGCCCCAGCTATAGGGACATTTATAGGCTGATGATACATGCTGCCGAGTCTATAAATTAAATGTTCCAAAAACAAAGATTCTAATAATTTAATATTTGATTTATAAATGTTATTGTTAATAGTATTTTTCTTTTTTAATTTAAACTAAGAGGTTTAAAAAGTTTTTGCCTGATACTTAACACCTAAATAAAAATTCAACTTACCGGTTTCATGTGTTCCATGACAGTTTCACAAAACATATTCTCACTGCTTTATAACACAATCAGTAGCAATGGAAAAAAAAAGTACATTATCCTACTTCACTCAACACGACCTAATTGTATATTAAAAGGGTGGCGGCATTGGCAAAACTTCTCAAAAATCCCTATTGAACTCTACTACGTACAATATATACTTCCAAAGTACACTTCAAAGAAAAGATTTGCCGACGAAGACAAAAATAAAATGGGAACGACGATGCAATCGCTAAATTTATTACCTAGATTCGTTTACATTTAATTCTGTAATTGGGTCAAATACTTTAATTTTAAGAAAAACTATTTCGGTCGATATAGATTTTATACAATAACAACTAGTTTCCTTTTAAATCTAAGATCTAGAAGTTATCACTTCACAAATTATTAAACAGTATAATCGACGGTAAAACTTAAACTGTTTTTATTTACACTCAAGATCATAATCCTTTGTTTTGAATCAAATATGATTCGTTTTATTTTAACTATCCGTTTAACCCCACTGCCACGAGGAGGACAATGTTTTTATTTTCACTCACGTCGCACATGATAAAAGTTCTTGACAAATTTTCATAGATTTCATTATGTTTTAGACCGTTCTAACGATTATATCGGGAAACATCGTATGTTCAAGATTCCTTTCGCTGCACTGAGTACACAATTCCCCTTTACTCGCCGTTACATACCTAAAAACAAACATACTGTTAGAATTAATGATTACGCCCAATCATCGGCCGAGTTTGTTATTTTCGATAGAAATAGCCACTTCTGTAAGATCGTAAGTTACATGTTATGATGGGATTTGCGTGGGAAGTGCTACTTTTCCAGTTACAACTACTTTTACGTTAAAATTTTATAGGCTCCTTACTTTTTACATATCAACATAAGGTAATTTGCTATAATTGAATGTCGCGCTGCAAATAATTTCAATAGGGTTTATTTTTAAAGAAAATCAAGTTGAAAAATTCAGGTTATTCCTAACTCTAGTCTTTTAAATGTGCATTTCTGTATGGTACAACATTTAGTATTCCTAAAACTTTAGTCGCGTTTGGTCCAATTCCTCTTCGCCTTTACTAAAAGCGAATTGGAGTAACCGCGAATGTACTAAATGCAAACTGTACCACATGCGACTACAAGATTCCCAAGTCTAATCTGCGGAATCTGAGATTCTATTACCTTCAGGGAGGAAGGAGGGAAATCAATGTATGATAAATATTAATATTAGCTGCTTTATGTGCGTACTCTAAATATATCACACATTTTAATAGGTAAATTTTACCTATTTGAGGCTTTAAATCCTATTATAGAATTTTCTAGTCACAAGGTGCTACTTATATGACGTTATTTTACATTACTGATTTGTTTGATTTTCACTTTCAGATAGGAGCTGATGGAGCGAACTCAGCGGTGCGCAAAGCCATGGGTGTGCAGTACCTGTCTTGGAACTATGATCAAATGGGCATAGTCGCTACACTGCATCTTGCCGAGGTGAACTTACGATATAATTTTCCTTGTAAAATTCAATTACACAGTATCACATAAAGTTAAAAATATAATATCGAATTTCACATTAAATTTAGATTCATCAATCGTCTCACCGAAGTGTGCCTTAATATGTTGTGTATCACCCGTATAATGTGTACGATTGAATGTCTTATCATATACATACATATTTGTGTGTTCTAACGTTTTATAACGCATCTTCCGTTAGATATGTGCTGGCTCATAATTATCAACACTTCAAGGTTTAAAATGAATTACAAAGATAGTCGTTATTTCTCCATTTATGTTATTGCAATGGACAATGCCCTTAATGGTGGTCTTCAAAATAGCATATGAATCCTTGAATTAGATTACGAGCCCTTATAAACCCTTACTATACGTCGTCATACTTTATTTTTCGCATCAACTTTGAACTTAATTGCTCTCATATGGTTAACATGGGTAATTATTATAAAGAAATATTTCCATACATGGCCCCTGGTAGGTCGCAGCAAATTACATATCAATAATATTAACTATAATATAATAGGGAAGATAGATTGTCGAAAGGTGTTGCGTTAAATGCTATCAATTTAAATAAATGGCATTTTAACTTGACTTTTTACTGAAACTAGTTAGTTAATGGAAATCAGCCATTTATTCTTATTCTTACATGGTATTAGATAAGATCCTGTATATTGGCCAATACTATAAATAAAAATCCAAATCTGTCATTAATAAATATCGTTGTATCGGTTTTTAGGAATCGGAGAACGTAACAGCATGGCAACGATGGTTACCAACAGGCCCGATAGCTTTATTACCGCTGGATAACAGCCGTAGTTCGCTGGTGTGGTCTATGTGGCAGGACGATGCCAAACGTCTACTCAAATTAACAGAGGAAGAATTCGTAGATGCTATCAATGATGCGCTGGTGAGTAATTGCTCTTTATTTTTTTCAGGTGTTTATTAAAAAACTTAAATTAATATTTTATATACAGATGTTATTTTATTAATATATTAAATTTCATTAGTATAGTTATAAATTTATTGCATTTTTATAAAACTATATAAACAAATGTACCTTTTATGTCTGTCCCGCTTTATTTACTAAGCGTGTCATTGATGTATTGGCACATTGTTACCTAATAGCTCGATGGGATAAGAGAGTGCATGTAATCATATTGTACGGTAATAGTGGAAGCAGTACCCGCGCAGTAAAGGCGTGGAAGCGTGCATGTCTTGGATGAGCTCGTGGTTGAAGCGGGCTGGCCTGCCGGACGGCGCGTCCCGGCAGCTGCCGCCGTCCGTCCGGTCTATAGCGGTAGGATCCCGCGCGGCGTTCCCACTCGGCTTCGGGCACAGCGTCAGATATATCGCTCCAGGCGTTGCTTTAGTTGGGTATGTATGTCGCTTCTCACGATACTAAAAGCAATATCCCATTATACAAAAAGCATTCGGCAAACTGGCCAAACAACTAAGCTTCTCATTTCTACTTATTAAATATCTTTTTGAGTTGTTTAAATTTTCTACTTCGTTGTATCATTAGGCGAAGTGTATACGTACTTATATTTAATTATCGAATTCCCCCAGGATTCAGATGCAGTCACAGTAAAGCTATAGATATATTCACTTACCGTTACAATTACCTAATTGAGAACTTTTTTTACTTTATAAATACCTAAATAGAAAGTCTAATCTTATAAATAGTACAATAATAATACCATGTCTGCAATTAATAGTTTCAAAGATATTTTGCTGTGTTAATGAAACTAGCTAGTCCGCCGAGAACGTTCCCTACAAACTCAAGCAAAAAAGTGACGTCACAGCTTAGTACGGTAGCGAAAAACGTATTTGCATCTGCGCAATCTTAAAAATATTTTTGTTATTTATTCCGCTAGCGGCTTCGCCGGCGTGGTCTTGTATTATACATTAAATTCTTCCTTTTGAATCACCCTATTTATGAAAAAAGCCGCATCAAAATCCATTGCGTAGTTTTAAAGATTTAAGCATATATAGGGATAAAGGGACAGAGAAAGCGACTTTGTTTTATACTATGTAGTAATATATTACATTGAAAATTAGACTGCCGCAATTGTTTGTTTTATACCCCTTTTTAAATAATGCTTATAATTGTGCTGTATTTTGCTTTGTGTAATTAAGTTAAAGGATTATTATATATCGTAGTGACGCAGCGCACCGTGTTCACCCACTAGCGGGACAGGGTGTGAACCTCGGCTTTGGCGATGTTAAAGATCTCACAGAATTTCTCTCAGATGCCATATACACAGGATACGAAATCAGTGAGTTTAAAAAAAACATATTTCTTAATTCAAAAGGATCCAATTTAAAAGGATTGTTTCTGATAAATAGACTGCATCAAAATTTTCCTATTTGCACTTTATTTAATTGCATATCAGAAATGTTAATATATTATGATTAAAATTCAGGTGTGTTTATAGTGATGATTGTTTTTGTTTCGTTAGTTTATCAGTTCATGAATCACTAAAGACATTAACAGTATCATAACACATACTAAACATGTTTTGCATATTTTTGCAATAATATTGTATTGAGTCAAGTTTAAGACGATAAATATTAGGTATAATTCACGTGGAAAGTGTAGGTCTCTAAAATTATTTAGCTTTTATTTTTAATTGGCATAAGTACCAGAATAGGGATGTTGCCTAATTTATATTTGTCCATCAGGTAGTTGAATTTAAGAGTTTTAAACCCCCTTTTCTTCGTAATCAATAAATTACGGCGAAACATTGAGATGAAATGACGTATCACGACAAATCTTTGCACATTTCCTACTTAGTTGAGACGTAGCGAGTCCCCACTCCTCAACTTGAATGAATGCCCATTATCTAAGCCATTTCTTGTTAAATTGAAGCGAATAAAAAATACTTGTCTAATGTTTTTATATTATCTGACTGACGAACTAAATTAGAATTTCTTTTTTATCCAGTCGTCATCCCTATTAATAAGAATAAATTTTACTAATGAAAGTCTACCTTCCTAATAAAATATATAATATAATATCTTCTACCTATCTTTATCTTCTATCTGAGGTTTATTAAGATTTGCTTGCAGAAACCAACATCCTGAGAAAAAGCCTATGAATTATTACTCATAAAATTACGTTTAATTAAGTACTAGTTTCATTTAAAATCCATTTAATATTAAAACACAAATATGCAATAAAATAAATGTATAAAATTTAGTTAATGACATATTAACGGTAAATATGACGACCTCCGTAGCCGAGTGGTTCGCACGCCGGTTTCAAGGTCCCGGGTTCGATTTCCGGTCGGGTCAATGTAGAAAATGAACTTTTCTATATTGACTCGGGTTTGGGTGTTGTGGTACCTTCGTTGTCTCAGATACTCCATAATACGGGGGCTTTAGCTACTCATCTTGGAATCTGAGCAATGTATGTGATGTTGTTAAATATTTATTTATTTATTTGTTTAGTGTTTATTTTTATTTAAAAAAAATAATGAATCACTTTTCAATTTATACCACATGCTAATATAACATTAACCAAGTAATGATAACTTAAAATGTTCATACATTATTTATTTATATATTACGGAGCACGTACATGATGTATTGTGTAGATAGATAACCACATGTTTATGTTTTTATTTGTGTCACACATTATTAAAAGGAATATTTAATAACAATAAAAAATATATACATTTGTTATTCGAATCAAAACAAAGACAATGATAAATGAATACATTACAAAATTTAATAGTAATTTATCACATTTAGCGTTAAAAAATAGTACACATCTTTAATTACCATCTGCTTTATGTAAAAGTTAAGTATTTAGATGTTGTTCAAAACAATTAAACTAAATAGAAAATAAATAAATATTTTTAACTTTACTTATGTTAATTAAAGTTTATTTTAAGGCAAAGGACATTAATGTTATTACAATAGGCCACCTATACTGCACCTTAATCTATTTACATATAATAATTGGGTGATGGGAGGTTCTAAAAATTATTCTAGAAATTTCATGAAAGTATTGGCAGCAATTTGATTTGCCCATTTACTTGACACCATTTGCAGATTATGTCTATAAAAACTACACTAGGTCACCGTTATTTTTAATAGTTTACTATTGAAAAATAACTGTGACCTAGTATAGTAATTGAAGAAACATCTGTCGTTATTGCTTATCTTGAGAATTGTCTTTATCGTTATACCTATTTTCTTTTTGTTTTACCATACCCGTGTAATAAAATATATATTACCGCACAATGATTGTGTTGTTATTAAAACAGACTTCAAATCAAACCGAAACTGATATTTAATAACAATATAATAATTAAGAAATAAAGAAGTTTTTTTATTTATTAATATCGTTTGAAAATAACAGAGGAGTACTAATTTTGAAGGTTAACAAAAAGTACTGATATAAAACTCGCGCTTTAATAAGATATTCTTGAAAATGTCATTCTAAAAGTGACGAAAGATATAGCGAAAAATATATATTAAAAATATTTTTCGCAGATAATCTCAGTTGAAGTAGATTAAAAAAAAGCTACAATACCCAATACTTTTGTTTGTAATAGCACACCATAGCTGGTTAGAGAAATATGAAAGCTCTCGGCAGCGGCACAACGTGCCTACTCAGATAGCAGTGGACGCTCTCCACCGACTGTACACCATCGACCTGCCTCCTGTCGTGCTAGCGAGGAGTCTGGGCTTGCAGCTGACCAATGCCCTGTACCCGATCAAGGTAAAATTACCACATTATTTATTTCAAAAACAAAATCCACATAAAATTCTTATCATAATAATAGTAGAATAATTTTAACATATCTTAATGCAAAAAAACGGATTTTCATTATTTAATTACATAATACAAAATGTGGGGGGTTCACCTTCAAAACACGCTTAAACGTTTCTATATGAGGATATTTGAAAGGAACTGTAAGCATTTTTTTTTATTCACCAATGAGTTTGGATCAAAACTCACCAATTAATTACATTCTACACTGATACACAAACATTAATCTTTGTTACAAAATAGGAACTATTTCAGAAGTTCGATATTGTTGATATAAAAAGTTTAAGCACGTTTTGAGAATAGATATATAAAATAAAAATAATGAAAGTTGTCTTTTTCATATTTAAAAAGGTACTATTGTTAATGTAAAATACCCTTTGACACAATATTTGATCGATTTTGTCAGATAGTCTTAGTAAAAAAAGCTACGTTATACAATAACTAAAATATTTATTAATAAGACATTATATCCATTCATACCGCTCTACGTGTATTCATATACGTTTCCTATGTGCAATTCTATTTTTATTATAATATTATGTTATTGTAGAAAATATTTTTCCTGTAAAACCTAAGATTTACAAATCCTAAACAGTTTTGTGATTGTTGTTTATTTAGAACTTTTACCATTATACTCTCGGCAAATCTTAGGTTTTACCTTAGGGGCACGGTCAATGTTGATGGACTTGTATAAAAATATTGTGGCATGTATGCCACAATTTCTATGCAATCAGTAATTCTGCTGTCTAAGTTATTATGATTTTCTATTAAACATGACTCATAAATTAACCTATAAATTAGTAAATAATTAAATAAATGACAAAGAAATATTCTAATGATAATTAAAATTTCGTCATAATGTATAATTAATATTACTTTTGAGTTTGAGTGATAGGTAATTGAAATTTCAGATTAAGAAACTCTTGTCGTTTTATACTCAATACTAATGACATTTATCAACTGTCATTGGCGGAATTCTGCATGCAGGTCTTCTCTTAGGTCCTGGATTTAATTCGTTTATCGCTTCTTGAAGTCTGTTGTAATTGATTGAACCACTAATGCTACAACAGGGTTCCGTTCGACGCTGAATTTTTGACAGAATACCACTGCTGGACAGTAGAGCAACCGACTCACTACTCTAGCTATATAATTCTAGCCATAGCTATAAGAACGTTTGAATAAATTTGTCATTATCATCAGCACTTTTACGTCCCCACTGCAGGGTCTCGGGTTTTCCTTATGGATGGTTTGGACTCTCCTCGCTAGCCCAAAGCGGGTATTGACGACTGCAAATGCAGCCGGGAAGGCTTATTGTGCCTGCCGAAGCACGAAGCTTGAGATACTTTTTTTTTGTCACCCATCCCGTGACTGATCCCTGCGAAAGTTGCTTTACAAGAACGATCGCAGGCTATGGCGCTTGTCCATTACACCATTGTGCCATGATTTTATCCATTAATAGCTTAATATTCTTGTAAAATGACTTTTTTTTATTATTAATATATTTATTTAAAAATTTTGGTTTATTACAAAATTCGAAACAGCTTCGTTTGACTCTAAACTACTTTTGTTGAGAATTTTTTAATTTAGTCATTCTTAATATACATAATTTAGAAATCTAAAGCAACCAAACTCGTTGGTTAAATTGAAACGACATTTTAAAAGAATATAAACATATTTACTGATACAATCAATAAAACGTTTTATACTATGTCTAGAGTTATAGCGAATTAGTAACTTCGCTGTGCAGGTCATTATAGAAATTATTTTTAATTATGATTAATTCATTATAGATAATTTTTATTTTAGTTTAATAGTAAATATAAAAATGATTTCAATAAAAATATATACTTGTACGTACATTGATAGAAATAATGTAATCTTATAGCTTTTCCCAAGGAGACAAGCGGTATGTTGTTTCCATAGCAAATGTGCTTTATCTACTTGAGATCCGAATGCAATATGCAGTAAAATATTGCTAACAGTTTGTTAGTATGGGTTCTAGAACATAATTTACCAAGAAGTTTCTAATATTGCTTATTCAAATATTCATATTTTTAATTTTACGTTCACTTTCACAGCTATTAGCATTTTCATGTTCATTATAATATTTTTGCTATTATTACAAACGGTATGTTGATTAAACTCGGCCGTCAGTACTAAGTCTTAGGTATCATAAGTAGTGTTTATAGATGTCTTTTTAGGATTCCTTAACCAAAGGGTAAAAACGACACCATATTACTAAGACTGCTGTCTGTCACAAGGCTATATCTGATGAATCGTGATATATATATATGTGTATTATTTATTTATAAATACATATTTCTTATTTATTTTCGACGATAGCAGGTAGAGGTCTACCGTAATGAACACTTCTAAATGTTGTCCGCTTGTTACACTTTTCCTGTAAATGAAAAAAAAAAATATTGACTAATATTAATATTTATAGTAAAAATGCTCAAATTATTCATAATATTATATGTATTTATTACAGAAATTGATTATGTCACACGCCACAACATAGCTGTTGGAAAATATACACAAAACGGACCGTGTTCAAAAGAAGTGATGGACGTCACGAGAAGCGAACGTTGTTAGTTTTATTTATAGATTGAGTATTGATAATGTGATTTTTATATTGTATAAGGATTGTGATGTGCAATAAATATATTTAACTGTAAAATATCTTAATTTCTTCCTTTTCCCTTGAAATTACGAGAAACTAATGTTGTAGGCTAGGATCATATATTTGAAAACTAAAACAATATTTAAAATAAAATATAAACTCTTTCTATTAGTTTTAGTATTGTTATTATTTAGCATGAGTAATTCTGTTGAAAATGCTTTTAAATTAATTTCATTTAAAACAAATGAACAATAATTAAATAAATGAACCCATAAAAGTTAGAATACTATTATCATTAGCTAATGACAGTTCTTATTTCATTAAAATTTTGGTTTAAATATTTGCATAAGTTATTTGTGGGCACAAAAAGTCGGCACATCTGCCAAGGTTGCGACGAAGGGCAGATGTGAATAAAAAAGGTCAAATAAAAAATGTGAGTCGATGAAATTAAAAAATGACGTTTCTCATATGAATAATGAATTAGTAAGCTAGACGCCAGGTAATTTCAGCCTTATTTCTAGTAATGTGAAAAGAAAAACAAAGTAAATAACAGATAAGCTGATGTATGTGAATTCGAATTTGACCTTCACTGACTTTAATCATACGGATATCACGCTTACACTGCGTCGCCCTCATTTCCTCTTGAAATGTAATATTAAATGACCTAAAACTTCTCTCAATCTTTCTATTTCCTATCGATGAATAAAACCTTAGTTTTCAGCTAAACTGGAAATTAGATAATACCTACGCATATTACTAACCATATCACTTATGTCCGTAGCCTTTTTCTAATATTAACCTGTACATTTATTTAAAGCAAATGTGATGACGTTATAACAAATCATATGCTACGAATATTCATACTATAAATAATTATTAAAAAAAAATACAACTATTATTCGACCATAATGGAGGGATGACGTCATAACTGTTCGCAGCGCAATGTGCTACCACGACTTACGCCATTCCTCCTCAATCACACGCAATTTTAGTATCTATTACTATTTGCAGTAGGTTTAATTTCACACTCGATATAGATATTGATTGACTCAACGTTTTGGTAAACATGCGCAGTTGTAAGTCATTGTCTCGTGATTGCTTTGACTCACTCAAGGATTTTTTTAAACAATTACCATTGCTTCTACAGACTATCAATAATAGTAAAATGATTGCATTTTTCTGGAACGAGCTGTAAACAACATTAAGTTTTAATATGCTTATTTTGAGATCATTAATACTCTATTATCGCCTTAATTTAGTTTTAAGGGCAAATAAAAATACATATTTACATCCATAAATTATTATTACAAACAATTGCTTTTGCAATCTGTGAAAAGCATTTAATGATAATATTAGTAGGTAATTTATTAATCAGACCATTAATATTGAATAAGCTTGGGAAAATCATAAATTAGGATGGCTTTTAAAAGGTATTTAAAATATTTTACTAACTAGTTTACTTAACGTATTATTATAGGTAAGTGATTGTCTCATTTTTAATAACAACATCATGTTTTCTCGAAACGGTAATTCCCACGTGAACCAATCACCCTAAAATTATAAAAGTCGTTGGCTAAGCAAGGGACGGCGTTTAAAAATGGCAAGACGGGTTTTTTTACCTGCAAAAGTCGTGTTGGGAATAAGGGCATTCTTTTTATAAATACCACGTGAATGGAAAAGTAAGTCGGAAAGAGGAATTAATTCTATAGTTAACCGTTAAATAGGTTCTACATTTTATAATAAAATGGTTCCGACATAAACATTTGCATCGTCGATGTAAATACAAACGAGATTTCAATTTTAGTAGTGTTTTTATTAGACGTTGCATTGGAATATTTTAAGGAATTCTTTAATTCTATTAAAGATAATCTTTCATGAGAATGTTTTTCGTTTATACATTTTATATGCGAATGTTTTTTCAAATCTTAAGTCTTAAGCCATCTCGACTAATAAGTATTTAAGATATCTTTGGCAATCGACTACATTCATTGTATTATTACTACTTTAACTTTCCTACTTATTTAAGTACATACTTTTATAAAACAATATTAGGTCTAAGAATTTGAATTCATGTTATAATCAAGATAAGTTATTAACATTGATATAATTTGTGTAGTACCTACCTAATATGTTATTATTAGATTAGCCTCCTAAAATCAAGTCGATCGTAAGAATTTAAAATATTATATATAATTTAATACGATTATCGGGTTTCAAAAGGAATTTCTATAATTAAATTTGAAAATAGAACAAAATCATTTTCTGTATGAATGACGCAAATTACCTACTTGGAAAAATCGATCTACAGAAGGAAATATCTAGTACATCCCTCCCCGCCCCGGGCCCCAGCCTGAACTCATACTCACCGCCCCCCTCCTCTCGTCCCCTCAATGCTAGTTCTGCAGCGCAGTTTAGAAACGTCGTACAGTTATGGCATCATTTAAATTACAAAATTTTATTGGTTATACGACTTAGCAACAAAAAAATGCAATTTCACTTTTGTACAAGAAAACGGAAATTTAAAAATAAAATTCCAATTCTAAATCTGTTTTTCTATTATATAGGTATCTAAAAATTACTGAATAACATAACATACGTAGGGTCCTATTTTATCTTTATTATCTTATATAAATTTATTACAATGATAGCTATAATTTTTCATGCAAAATTATAAAAAAACAATAATAAAATATATTAATAAATAGTGTTATAAAAGTTCTAAACCTCACGTGACTTCTGAACACAGAAACAAAGTTTTGAATAAACCCCTATACTTATTAAAAGTAAAATAATATATCACTATAAACTTGCATCATAGATATATCTATTATCATAAAAAGATCTTTTTCATCTTGAATCATAGACACTGTTTTATATGATAAGTTCCAAAATCAAAACTTCATTTATATTCTACCACAATGCTTCCTCTATGTGTAGTAAAAATAAAAAATAAAAAAAATATTTGTAAAACGAATACGTCAATTTGGAATTTTGGTAGATTAGCATTTCAACAAATTATATCTTGAATTATTCTAATAAGTTTATCTATAAATAAACGTAATAAATGTTTATGAAGTGACATTGTGTTTACTGGAGAAAATAGGACTTCTGATTATTTTAAAGTGATAATAAATTCCGAAGATCTATAAGTATCAGCACGGTGGTAATCAATTCTATACTATATTTGATTTCGCTTCACTGTGTGCTGTTTCTGAAACGCGCCTTTATTGACCGTCTATTTCTGCCGTTGGATCGCCGCCATTTTGTTGGAACAACTGCGCAGCGGGGCCCTGGGTGGCGTCAGGTATAAAAGGCGGGCATGACGTCAGCGCCCACATAACTTTCTCGATCTGGTGCTGTGCGGACGTGGAATTGTGTGTTGTGTTGCTGCTGCTCTTCATGTGAATTTTGCCTGTACGGATTCAGGTGTGTAAACTGCTGTCACGCACATCTATTTTCTGCCCTTTATCTAACCATGGGCTACAGTACTAAAGAAAGATCTGTTGTTGACTTTTGTGAAAGTAAAACCGAATCATTATCTAACTGGGTTCGTCAAGTTAAAAATAAATCGATCAATGCGAAGACAAAGAGAAAGCGCGACTTGAGAATAATCGCCATTTTGAGTAATTCTCTACTTCGCGCCGAGAATGAACTAATCATGAAACAAAGAGAACGTGCGAGGAGGTGGGCTCAAATGCAAGTTGACCTCGGATTGTGCAATAAAGAAGAAGAAATCGCCAGACAACAGCGAGAGAAAATTGATAATTTATGGAAGAATGATCTCAGCGGTCTAGATAGTTTTTTCAAAGAATTAGATAATGTCAAACCAGTGCTAGTAAACTAATACTCCTTAGGTAATGTAAACCTCTGTATCTGTGATATACTATGTAGGATGTTTTTCTAAATTACAGTCCCATTGCGTTTCGCGTGGGTCTGCATCCGTTGGCCGCCATCTTGGTTGCCGCTGGGGCGCGGTCGCTGCTAGCCACAAAATGGGTTTGTAACGGTATCATGCATTTAATTAGTCAATATTTATAGATAGTTAGTACAATTGTAATGTTTTCAATTTTCTCTATCTTCTTGATAAAATTGGAATTTGTGTTTTATTCATATTGAATAGTAAGAAATATTGTAACATATGTTTAAGTATGAAAATAAAAGAAATTTTAAAAAGAAAATTGTGGTCTTACTGCTGTTTTTTCTTTTTTTGTTACTGTGATTTCATCACCACAAATGTATTATTCCATGAGTCATCGCCTACGTGGGGACTTGGAGTCTCGATGCCGTGGCGCAAACGAGTTCCTGTGAACGAGTATGAGTCAGCTGTGTGCAGAGATGCGGTGGCAGTGTAGACGCTGCGTAATGCACTACTACGCCATAACATGCTGCGCGTCCTGCTTAATGGCGTGGATACGAATCAGTCCCGGTTGTCAGCCCACCTAGGTAAACGTTAGGGGATTGCGTCGTTATTTCATCACTTGCCTATCCAGTAGGAAATTGACGGGCCCATAATGGGCCCGTTTTGGTATAACGCTCTCTTTAGACCTCAGAATCCTGACTATGCTACTTACTGCACTCGGACCGGCCACGAAAGCGATCTGCGTCGCAACGCAATCGCGCGTAGAAAGTCTGTACACGTAAGAAGTGAATTGGAAACATCCTACATTCGGTGAGTGTTGATGTTGAAGCGAAACTGTTCCTATTTGCGCTTATATTTTAATTCACAACGATTTAAATACTTCAATTAAATCATAACATTATCACTAGAAAATATGTTTCGGTAATGTATGCCTAAGAGCATTTGTTAGAAAATAACGATTCACCCAAACAGGCATGAACGGTGTCTAGTTCCATTACGAAGTCTGAAGTCACGACAGCAAATGCAGTGTTTTGAGAAGACTTGTTCCTCTGGAGCAATAGAAGGTCCACGTCTCGCAGGTTGATCGTACTCTGCTGCTGCCCCGCACCAACGGCACTGTTTCTTTTAGGTAACCCTCAAAATGATATGTGAAAAACTACTTTTTGCTGAGGTGTTGTATATTGAAAGTTGATAATCTTGAAACAAAATTTACAATTCTATGGTAAAATAATCATATCGATGAATTGCCTACGGGCTTTACGAATAACTATCACCCAAACACAGGCATTAGCAGTGTCTTATTTGATTGTGAAGTCTGAAGTCGCAAGATAGTACGAGCAGTCAGTTGGTGAGGCGTGTGCCAATCACGCTCCACGGGCAGTGCGATCTTCCTCGAGCATGCATTGCACTGCGTTTTAGGTAAAAAGTTAGTTTGCTCAAATTCTTAAGGTTTAATAATGCATGATCGACTCAGCGACGCATTCACTAGAAAACCAAAGGCAAATGATACTACGCGCATTTTGAAATGGATTCTACATGACTATGAATTAGGTTCCTAGAATGTAACAGTGAAAATAATATAACGTGATGAAATATCGTGGGCTGATGATACACGGGACATTGGTATCTGGAACACTTAACTTAAAATCTTCAAATGCACTGAACTTAAATGATCTATGACTATGAACTGAACTATAATTAAAATGATGGAAATGGAAAGGGAGGAAATAAGATCTGTTAAGTTAATGGTAAGTTATCACAATAATCTCGTGTTATTTCTATATTGTTGTATTTCTGGTCGTACTTCAAGATAAATGCCTTCAATTTAACTTGTCAAAATAAATTGGTTAGTCGTTCAGTTAGACAAATGAGAATCTTCCGTAAATCATATGATCCTAGAAACGTTAATCATAGTTTTACAATAAAAAGTATACCCATAATAATTTCATATCTTTTTATTAAATAAATCTAAGTAGGGGTTCTAAACATTGCTGCTACTGATTTATGTGCAAACTTCACAGCTAACTGGACATGGCAGCCAAGGCACGTCGTGAACCGAATATTCACGACGAGGCTACATAAAACGCACAACCGTACAAGGTCAAAGGCTATACCTGATCCAGTAAACATTAGCAAAGGATCCTCGTATACAGATAAGTCCTGTCTGTCTCAGTATATAGAACAACATAAAATCTTACATATACTTCAAAGTATGACTTACTGAATGATATGAGTTTATTATAAATATAGAATTGTATGCAGTTTTTAATGAACTGATAAGTCTGTGTCGAAGTATCGATAGTAGGTAAGTATATAATCTCTTCAATAAGTTTATACCTCTTCTATATGGAAAATGACCCCGTCATTTAAAGAGGCTAATATACCATTATTTTCCAGAAGTAAACTGTATTCATTGATTTATTAAACTCTTTATTATTAGGATGTTTTGCACAGTACGTTGATTCAAATTGTATATTTTATTAAAATAGGTAATTGGAAACTTTTATGAACTATTCAATTTACTACTACTTGATATCATTAAAGAATCATCACCATTATCTTTAACTTTTCAGATATAAAATTCAATGTTTGAAAATATTTCAATAAATAAGTCAAATATAAAAAAGTGATCGGAGATATTTAAAAATTAATTTTAAATTCTATTCATCTTCATACCATATAAAACTTCAAATGGAATTCCTAAGAATAATTACCGATTTGAACTAAAATGAACAGCAACCATGAATAAATATTGTCACGAAATATTTTTATCGCTGATTTAATTTGGAAATATGGATTGTCCGAAAGGAAGTACATATCAGGTGGAGATAAAAAAAATTCGAGTAACAAGGAAATGTAAATATAGCACGTAACTATTACGGCGTCGCGATTTTTTTCTGATATGAATCTCCAGGCAGCGGATCGTGTTTCTACTCGCCCGTCGCGAATCTTGATCCAGGTTGTGATACCACAAGGACTCTGGCAATGCCGGCAAGCCGTACTTAAAAATATAGTTTCCTGATGGTATAACTGAAATAACAGCCTCAATCGAAGGACGATTGTAAGCACAATCGAAAACGTGTAAGGTATTTCCGTAGTCCTTTTAATAAACAAATTTAACTATTAGCACTAAAATAAAAATTTCATCATTTAAATTTATATCGTATGAAAAACGATACTGAAAAATTTAATTTCTATATAACATAGTGATCTAATCGGATAATGCTGGCTAATGACTTGGACACAACAGCACATACAGTTATTACAAAATGAAAATTCCGTAATGGATTTTAAACTTCATTTTAATATAATAAAGTTTTAAATCTGTCAGAGTTTTACATTTGTTGATAACCTCATGTCCTGTTCTGATTATAAATGAACTTGTTTTTTTCTAATTTAAACGTAGTCTAATATGTACTTGACTTATACTTAATATTTTATAAGTTGTGTTGTCGAATGTTGTTCCCATGTTTTGTTCAGCTAGGTTCTTCCCATGCAGGCATGTGTTGAATAAGCAACAAGCAAAGGATTTACTAGATATTATCATTTAAAAAGTTCATAATGAAAAAGTAGTTTATTTAATGGTATTAATAAAGCACAATAGGATCTTAACACTATTAAACGCTGAAACATCAATGCAATCCACTTTCCAGTATACGCCTAATCTGAACTGAAATGTATGGAACTCTAAGGAATTGAATGTAAGAAATGTGAAACAGTTGGTTTTAACACAAAGTTCTTTACTTATATAGTCTTTAAAAACTAATTTCTTGCTTGTCTGTCTGTTGCGAGATGTTTGCTTTAACTAGTGTTGATACAGGTTTATTCAAATGGATAAAAGGAGAGATGAAACTTAGTTTGTATAAATAAGAGTGATTATGGCATAGGAGCCTAAAAAATGTAACTGATCAATTGCTTACCTACCTATATCCATAATAAATCGAGATAGCATTGTATTACACAATGAAGGGATTGCAACACCCATGTACTTGCTATTGATTTGACTTCATATATAATTGATGATGGCATGTGGTTTGGTATGTGTTTTTTTTTTGTCTTTATGTTTTAGTTTTCTTCATTGATACTAGCTAGCATTACGTCTTTTAATTATAGAAAAAATGCACAGTTAGCTAAAAATATATAAAAGGTATGAGGTGCCTTTATTTTGAACTCAGCAGCACATCTGCAATTAATTTTAAATATTTTAAGGCTTAAATGTGGAATAATCCTGATGTACTGTTGATTCTGCTTTTTTACCTACATATTTACTTGCCTTAGTTAGAATTTTATATCATAAACAACCTTAATTAATAATTTAAAATTAACAATGCAATAGATTTGGAATGTATATATTCGCTGTAATATTGTGTATTTGTGTCGTGTTTTGTTTGTTTAGCTTAGGTACGAGAGAAATGCCTATACCTATATTAAAAGTAAATATCTCGAAAGCTATGAAGAGTGAATGATAAATATAAATAATACATGCCTCGACACCAACTCGCAAAAGGAATACTTTACTTTTTCAAGACTGAATGTTAAATATGCACAAGTTTTATATATGTACGAAGCATCTGCTTCTATTAGATACACCTGGAAGTAATATTTCAGCTGCTCTTTACTCGAGATTTGAATATTTGCCAAAACTACTATTGGTTGCTGTCCTGCCACAACCGCTGTAATAGCAATCAGACCGCTAGTCCAGCTATGGTCTTGTCGTAAAGCGACCTCTGTATAGTACTGCAAAAGGTTAACTGTCGGTTGCTGCCTTGTCATAACCACTGCTGCAGCTACAATGCCAATCAGACCGCTAATACCGCTACGGATTTGTCGTAAATCGACCTCCGTATAATACGACAAAGGTAAACTATCGGTTGCTGCCTTGCCACAACCGCTATTACGGCTACAATTGCAATCAGACCGCTAGTCCCGCTACGATCTCCTTATACGTCGACCAATAGGCAATAGACAAGAGGCAATAAAATCGGGTTCTATCTTGCCACAAACGATGATAATCATATGACAAAATGTATACAAACCATAGCTGTCACACTACCACATGATGCTAAGCTGCTAGTCTTGCTACTTCGGTATCGTACACAAATGTTCGCAAATGATGTTGAAATGCCTATTTAACTGCTGCCATGCCAGGACCACTGCTGCAGCTACAAAGGCTAAAGGTGAATATTGAATTCCACTACTGCTAAGCAATAGGTATGTAAGTTATTAAGTAGGTACGCATATCTGCCTGCATTATTTTCAAGTTGCATGTATACCTATATAATGACATTTTGTCCGAAACAAAATTTCATATTGTCTATGATATTTGTCTTTAATATTTTTTACACTACAGCTTTGTTATAAGTTATTTTAGTATTAACTTTTGTCACGTAAATAGTAATGCTACTTAACCTATATTTTTACTTACCTCTACAAAACCGTGTCGGTATGTGAGTTTCAAAATATTTAGTACTACATCTAATCTACCTTTGATGCAAACGCTATGTTGATCGAAACATGACAATCAAAGTACAAACTTTGCGAAGACAAATAGCAATGGATCTACAAGTAAATAATTCACATATTTGCTAAATCGAAAAACAACTACTCTGTTGTTATTATTTGAATATTCGAAATATGTAAAGTGAAAGGACTTTATAGAAATAAGCCATAGAGCACATAATGTCATGATACGTTGTTTAGAAGGAAAATAAAGTATAGAAGGTACCAAAACAACTTTGAAGATTTAAGTAATCTGTCAGTATTCTACATGCAGGTAGTTTTTACCTTATTTCATATTACTATTTATTTTAAATCAAGTTTATTTGCATAACTAGTGTTTTCTTTTGCTTATGTCTAAACGATAGGTTAAGAATGCACCTCTCACACTTGTATAAAATTATGGAGAAAATTTATAAATAAGGGAACATGTACAAGTTTTTAAAAAGATTCACATTGCTAAATAGCTATAGTCATATTTTCTATAGGCACATTAAGCAACCAAGAAATTTGCTATTTCTTATCTGCGTGTTACACGCCTGAAGGTAAAAAAATAAATAAAAAGAAAATAAACATAATGTAAACCCACGAGAAAGTTACAGATATCCGACGTACGCATTTAATTTGGTACAACTATAATTAATGGAGCTCGAGTTGGAATATTTTATAGTTTAATGGAAATTGACCTAATTTGCGCCGCAATCTGACTGCTTTCATTTCAGAATGATGGCTCCACTTAACACATATATCACTTTATTCTTAGAATTGTAACTACTAGGGCTAGTTACCGGAATTCATATAAGGATTATCGATTGTTTAGATTAGATTGCTTAAATTTATCCACTTCTTCAGACAAAAAAGTTAAACCAATAGGTCAACCAGACAAAGGATCGCTCTGCTTGTTCAACTGCAACCTCCGTCGGGAGCTCAACTTCAGTTTACTGTTCATCGGATGCTGAACTCCAGCGGATTCACCATTTGGTGCGCAACTCCAGCTGCCTTCCTAGCGGGTGCAAAGCTCCTGCCGCCTTCCAGGCAGCCTCCTACCCTTCGGATGCGCTACTCTTGCTACCTACCCGACGGGTGCGCAACTCCTGCTACCTGTAAGCTGCGCAGCTTGCTCCTGCTTGACAGGTTCTGACGCTTGTTTGTCGGGTGCGCAACTCCAGACCCTTAGCCGCCTAGTGCGCAGCTTCTGACGTCTGCCAGCCAGGTGCGCAACGTCTGCTACCTACCCTTTGAGGGCGGGTACGCACCTCCTGCCGCCTGAACATCGGGTGCACAAGCCTCACTGCCTGGTCATCGGATCATGTTTCCTATCCTTCGGGTGCGCAACTCCTGCCGCGTGTCTTATCGGGTGCGCAACTCCTGCCGCGTGTCTTATCGGGTGCGCCACTCCTGTCGCGTTTCTATCTATCGGGGGTGCCACTCCTGCCATCTATCGGGTGCGTAACTCCTGCCGCCTGCCCGTCGGGTACAACTCCTGCCGCCTGTCAGTTGGGTACAACTCCTGCCGCCTGTCAGTTGGGTACAACTCCTGCCGCCTGTCAGTTGGGTACAGCTTCTGCCGCCAGACAGTCGGGTGTGACTTCTGGCACCTGCTCATCGGATATGACACCTGCCATCTGCCCGTCGGGTGCGACTCCTGCTGCCGGCCCTTTGGGTGCGACTCCTGCCGCCTGCCAGTCGGGTGTGCAACTCTTGCCGCCTGCCCGTTGGGTGTGCAACTCCTGCCGCCTGCCCGTCGGGTGTGCAACTCCTGTCGCCTGCCCGTCGGGTGTGCAACTCCTGTCGCCTGCCCGTCGGGTATGCAACGCCTGTCGCCTGCCCGTCGGGTGTGCAACGCCTGTCGCCTGCCCGTCGGGTGTGCAACTCCTGTCGCCTGCCCGTCGGGTGTGCAACTCCTGTCGCCTGCCCGTCGGGTATGCAACGCCTGTCGCCTGCCCGTCGGGTGTGCAACGCCTGTCGCCTGCCCGTCGGGTGTGCAACTCCTGTCGCCTGCCCGTCGGGTGTGCAACTCCTGTCGCCTGCCCGTCGGGTGTGCAACTCCTGTCGCCTGCCCGTCGGGTGTGCAACGCCTGTCGCCTGCCCGTCGGGTGTGCAACTCCTGTCGCCTGCCCGTCGGGTGTGCAACTCCTGCCGCCTGCCCGTCGCGTGTGCAACTCCTGCCGCCTGCCCGTCGCGTGTGCAACTCCTGCCGCCTGCCCGTCGGGTGTGCAACTCCTGCCGCCTGCCCGTCGGGTGTGCAACTCCTGCCGCCTGCCCGTCGGGTGTGCAACTCCTGCCGCCTGCCCGTCGGGTGTGCAACTCCTGCCGCCTGCCCGTCGGGTGTGCAACTCCTGCCGCCTGCCCGTCGGGTGTGCAACTCCTGCCGCCTGCCCGTCGGGTGTGCAACTCCTGCCGCCTGCCCGTCGGTTGTGCAACTCCTGCCGCCTGCCCGTCGGGTGTGCAACTCCTGCCGCCTGCCCGTCGGGTGTGCAACTCCTGCCGCCTGCCCGTCGGGTGTGCAACTCCTGCCGCCTGCCCGTCGGGTGTGCAACTCCTGCCGCCTGCCCGTCGGGTGTGCAACTCCTGCCGCCTGCCCGTCGGGTGTGCAACTCCTGCCGCCTGCCCGTCGGGTGTGCAACTCCTGCCGCCTGCCCGTCGGGTGCGCAACTCCTGCCGCCTGCCCGTCGGGTGCGCAACTCCTGCTACCTCCACCAGTAAGGTGCGGTACACAGCTTCTGCCGCCTGCCCGTCGAGTGCGCACCTCCTACCGCGTGTCTTAACAGGGGCGCATCTCCTGCCGCGTTTCTGTCTATCGGGTCTGCCACTCCTGCCGTCTATCGGGTGCGTAACTCCTGCGGTCTACCCGTTGGGTGCAATTCCTTCCGCCTGCCCGTCAGGTGTGCATCTCCTGCCGCCTGCCCTTCGGGTGCGACTCCTGCCGCCTATCAGTCGGGTACAGCTTCTGCCGCTAGACAGTCAGGTGCGACTTCTGGCACCTGCTCATCGGATGTGACACCTGTCATCTGTCCGTCGGGTGTGCAATCCTCCCGCCTGCCCGTCAGGTGTGCAACTCCTCCCGCCTGCCCGTCAGGTGTGCAACTCCTCCCGCCTGCCCGTCAGGTGTGCTACTGCCGCTAGACAATCGGGTGCGACTCCTGCCGCCTGCCCTTCGGGTGCGACTCCTGCCGCCTGTCCTTCGGGTGCGACTCCTGCCGCCTGCCAGTCGGGAGCGACTCCTGTCGCCTGCCAGTCGGGAGCGACTCCTGTCGCCTGCCTGTCGGGAGCGACTCCTGTCGCCTGCCAGTCGGGTACAACTCCTGCCACCTGCCAGTCGGTTGCAACTCCTGCCGCCTGCCCTTCGGTTACGACTCCTGCCGCCTGCCAGTCGGGAGCGACTCCTGTCGCCTGCCTGTCGGGAGCGACTCCTGTCGCCTGCCTGTCGGGTACAACTCCTGCCACCTGCCAGTCGGTTGCAACTCCTGACGCCTGCCCTTCGGGTGCGACTCCTGCCGCCTGCCAGTCGGTTGCAACTCCTGACGCCTGCCCTTCGGGTACGACTCCTGCCGCCTGCCAGTCGGTTGCAACTCCTGACGCCTGCCCTTCGGGTACGGCTCCTGCCGCCTGCCAGTCGGTTGCAACTCCTGACGCCTGCCCTTCGAGTGCGACTCCTGCCGCCTGCCAGTCGGTTGCAACTCTTGTCGCCTACCAGTCGAGTGCAACTCCTGACGCCTGCCCTTCGGGTACGACTCCTGCCGCCTGCCAGTCGGTTGCAACTCCTGACGCCTGCCCTTCGGGTACGACTCCTGCCGCCTGCCAGTCGGTTGCAACTCCTGACGCCTGCCCTTCGGGTGCGACTCCTGCCGCCTGCCAGTCGGTTGCAACTCCTGACGCCTGCCCTTCGGGTACGGCTCCTGCCGCCTGCCAGTCGGTTGCAACTCCTGACGCCTGCCCTTCGGGTGCGACTCCTGCCGCCTGCCAGTCGGTTGCAACTCCTGACGCCTGCCCTTCGGGTACGGCTCCTGCCGCCTGCCAGTCGGTTGCAACTCCTGACGCCTGCCCTTCGGGTGCGACTCCTGCCGCCTGCCAGTCGGTTGCAACTCTTGTCGCCTACCAGTCGAGTGCAACTCCTGCCGCCTGCCCTTCAGGTGCGACTCCTGCCGCCTGGGTGATATTCTTAGCGCACAAGCATGAAGCCCAACAGAACCAGAATTTTTCCTTCAGTATATTACACGAGCCTTAGGTATGAGAAAATTAAACTGGGTAAAAACAAGAAGAAAATATATTGATCTGTTTTTACAATTAGGTACACTTCTCTTACAGATCTCTAAAATTTAATCAAAAGTGTATACAAAGAGCTGTTATTAGTAACGAGAGCGTCCAAATTTAAGCACAGGCTGGCCTGAATCTGAATCACCGAAAGGTAGTAAATACCCACATAATTCTTATATTTCCATATAGGTAACATTGGACACTACCAATATAGTTACGATTGGTTACAGGTGTCAAAGTGTTTCATCTCCACATCAATCTTCCTTTGAATTTAACTGACCTATCAACGAGAACGCATTCGTCGTCACCTTGCAATCGATAACAAGGAGTTCTAAAAAAATCGCATAATAGCTCGCGGTTTCTGCACTCCAGATCTGTAAGCCGTAGTTTCCGATGCCTTCGTTCTGTTTGGTTACTACAGAATGATTCCTGTGGATTTCTCTGTCTTCTAAGAACCTTCGATCGACTGTCAAAACTGTGAGAAAAATTGTTGCCGTGGGAGCAGTCGCTCCCAAATCAAAAACTGACTGCAGGACTCACTTTACATATCCACGCACCTTAATGATGGTATTTTTTTTACTTGTAATTTCCACACTGAACAAATAGTTTGTGATTTGAAGTGTATCCACGTGCATACTTCTATAGTATTGTCATATTTGTTTCAGATTATCTAATGTGAATAAAACTAAGATATACTTTAATTTTTACGACTAATAGGCACCTTCACCAAAATTATTTGAAAATTCTGGATAAAGTTCTATTTATAGAAAAGTTCGTCTCCAAACTATGAGATATTGACGTACTGTCCCCTAAACTTTTGAAAAACAGATAAACTGTATCCTGGAGCCCTTCCTGACTAGCTCCCCGACAGCGATGCAATCACCGTCAAGAAAACTTTATGTAAACTGTAAGTCAACCTCTACACACAACTCTGATGTCAACGAAAACCACATTTCGTTTAAATATTACATGTTGCAACAACTATTGTTTCTCTCTGTTCCAGGGTCTACAAAACTATAATATGTAACTATTGAGACAATATTTGTAAAATATACATATTTTAGAATAACAGTTAAAGCATTCTGCAATATAACGAATTGAAATTGAGAAAGTTATGACAAACATTACTGCTCCGGATTTCCAAATTGAATACTTAAATAATTGTTTGCTAAGCTACGGTCTGAAATAAGATTTCCGCGCTTTTTTAGTATTCTGTCGACAGGTTACGAACTCTTCAGGCAGAGCAGACATGAAGAAACCAGATAACACAATATTTTCCGTTTAACACCTTCTTCTTCACAGATAAAAAACTACGTGTTTCTGCTAATTGATTCCAAAAATCGTGCTAGCTTCGATCAACGTTATGAACTTCGCTTCTGAGGAAATAGCATTTTCATCTGTTTACCATAATAATATTTTCAACAAACCAGTGTATTAACTACAAAGCACACAATGCATTTATTGGCAATATAGGTTGAATGAAAGATATACATTCGCATGTCTATTCGACAGATGACAATCGGCCACCATACACAGTTGCTTCGTGATACAGATAAGAATAACTTCATTGACCTAATGTACGCGCTGCATAAGATAGCTTCAGGAATTACAGTATATAATATGAATTCGTCTATGTATTATTTTGTCTTTTCGACAGATGACAATCCCTTTAGCATACGTAGTTGCCTCGAGATGCAGATAAAAAATGTTTCAACCGATCGGTATGCCAGCACGGCAAAGCACATCCAGGGCACCTCGCAATCGCGTGATTTATGAAAAGTTTGGAGCAGCGTGATTTGTGAACTTTATATCTGTAAGCTACGGTTCGCGATGCTTACCTTTTACTTGATACCTACAGAGTGAGTCCTGTAGAGTTCGCTGCCTCAATCGAGTTGTAAAGAAGAGGAAAACGGTTGTTGTCGTGTCTACTCTCAAGTCAAAAACTGGCCGTAAAACCTCGCTGTATATGGCGTACGAGTGAGTTGCCACCAATTTCAAATCCACGCCTTAATTATGGTAATTTTTTGAAAACACCGATCAAACATTTTTGACAACGTACATGCTTCCAGAGTAGTGCAATTTTTGTTACAGATTAACTAATGTGAATAAAAGGTACATAACTCATACGAATAAGAGGCATCTTGATAAATATAATTAGAAAATTCTGGATTTAAATACGTTCATTAAAAGTTTGGACTCTACGACGAGGTATTGACAGACTAGGTATCTCTTAAACTTTTGATACACAGATAATCTGTATCCTGTTATCTTCTTTAACTGGCTCTCCAACAGCGGGGTACAATCACCATAAAGAAAACTTTAAGGCAAATGTAAGTCAACTTCTACAAACAATTCTGATGTCGTCGAAAACAACATTTAGTTATGTATTACATGTTGCAACAACTATTGTTTCTCTGTTTCAGGATCTACCTATTTCTGATAAAAAAGGCAAATAATATGTATATTTAAAATCTTTTTATTTAGCTTGTTACGTTGTTCAATATTGAGATGTTAACTTGCAAAGTACCTATTTTAAAATCATAGGTTTTCTACAGAATAACGGCGCACGAGTCGAAAAAGATATGCACAGATGCTCAAGTAGAGTTTAAGAGTTTACTAAGTTGCGGTCAGAAATAAGATTTCCGTGCTTTTTTAACTTCTATGTCGACCAGGTTACAGACTCGCCAGGCTGTTGATAGCAGGCAAGAACAACTAGATAAGATATATTTTCCTTTTAACTTCATCTATTCGCAGATAAACACAACGACATGTTTCTGCATTGATGCTGAAAAACAAGCTAGCTGCCGGCCAACACATAGGCTTCCTTCTGAACTGAGATAGGATTTACAACTGTCTACCATAATATTAGTTTCAACGAATCAGTGTATCAACTGCATAGGACGCAATGCCTTCAGTAACGATGCAGTATGTAATATGAACTCTTCTATGCATTCGCTTGACTTTTTGACAGATGACGAAAGGCCAGCCTACGCACTTGCTTCGTTAAACAGCTTAGAATTACGTCAACGAGCATCCGTACCAGCAACAAGGGATACGATGGATTCACAGACATTGTTGTATGTAAAATGAAATGGTCTATGCATTCACTTGTCTTTTCGACAGATGATGATCCGACGCCTAGGCAGTTGCTTCAAAGATAAGAACAATTTCTATTTTACCATCTCTAGTAATTTTGAAAATTCAAAACCTGTTAAAAACGACATGATGCGTGTTCAGGACTGGTTTGACTACATTGAGATATAGCTCTCCCGCATTTTCGCAACCAGCCCAGCTAGCCTATGTGTAATGTGCTCTTTTCTATCAATATCATATAATTGGTAACTTCAGTATAAATATCTTCGTATGAGAACACCATCGATCTGCAACGACTCGCCCTACTGGCTTCTAAATCGTGAGTTAAGTCTATGTCCATTTGTCAGCACCTGTAAGAGTCAAAATTTGACCATGCGACACTGTCATTCAACGAGTTCTCCAACTGATCAAAGATAAGGCATTAGTATAAGATACCTAACAACCTGCCGGTTAAAATCTTCAATAAAGGACAAGTTAACTGTTTCGAGCACCACTACTATTAAATAAAGCTCACTCCGAGACGCCTCCAAAACAAGTAGCAGAAACAATGCAAGGTCTGTTCTTACAAAACAATCTCCTATTGTACTCTGTAAAGTATTTAGTTTCAATAGCATAGCGAAGAGTGTCGTTTTTGTTCCAGATATCTGCATGTACTTGTTTGATTAGTTAAATATATTTGCAAAAGCGTTTTAACTGTAAATGAACACTAGCGTTCTATTTTAAGTTTAAAAAACTATAAATGTTGAAAGTTGTTGTCGAAGCATTAAAGGACCAATCATTCAATCAAAATAAAAAACATGCTATTAACACTGGCTATAAGTATATTGAGAAATCAAATGAATACGCACATCATGCACCAGAATACAATTTGCTTGCCTGTCGACTTACCAGTAATTTTTCACTGTTGGAGTATTGGTAATTGCACATACTTCAGTATTTAATTGGTAATATGTTTTTGTTTTTGCGATTGAAAATGCTTTAATTTTGGTATCCATGAAATATGCAATGTTTTGTTAAGTCTTTGTTTTAGATTTTATCAAACAAGTAGGATGACCATACCTCCTAATTTGTTTCTGTACAGTATGCATGCTAGTCAAATATTTTCTTAAACAATGTTTATTATAAATAATATAAATGTTTGTTCTAAAACATGGGATTATATGGATTAATTATATCGTTAAGTTGTTAATCTCTTAACAATATTAATTTCAGAAATCTTCGTTTGTGAGTATATGTATTATTATAATAGTTAAGGTGTATTTAAATTTTTAAAAGTTCATTTCAGAAACTAGACTGTTGTGGGTAAAATTTAACAATATATGAACAGTTAATCAATAACATTGCTACTTTCTTGTTTTTGTCTTAATAAGATTCTTTTCAGCAATTCAGACGTGAATTTAAATTGGAAAGAACCAAAAACATTGTAAAGCAAAATGTAATAAAATATGCCACACCGAGTGACTAATGCAACAAAAAATAAAACTGTTATAAATGAAAAGTTAAATAAAAAATATTGTGTGAGTGACCTAAGAGACAAAATTTCAAAACTACAGTAACAGTAACAATAAATGATTTTCTAGTTTAAACACTGTTTAATGTAAGTTAAAGTATTTTCTGGATAACTTCTGATTTATTACAGTATCCTCTTACTATGTGAGTATATTAATTTGAAATAAGGAACTTCGAAATAATTATTGTCTCTGATGTAATAATTCACTGCTATGAAAAAATGTTATAGGTATCTGATTTTTTTTGATTCATTGACTTAATTTGTTTTGATTCTCCTCACATAGAGAATAGGTAGGATGTCTAATCTAAATTTATATCCACAGATGAACAAGATTTTTTTTTTATTAATAGTGTAATTTAAATATCCTGAATAATTGAATTCATAAAACAAATGAAATCATAACAATATCAAAATAAACGCACTACAAGCGGCCTATAAACTACAATCGAAAGAAAAATATCGATTTTTAAAATATATAAAATTAACTATGTATCTATGACCAACCACAAAAGTATCTGATAAAACGATAACAGTAGTACTTAAACATCTTATGAAGTAAGTAGATAATTTGTCGTAAAATTGCATGATTTGTGTATCTGGCACATATAGATTGTGGAGTGCATTATAAAGTTTTTTTAACAGGATGATAAAATAACTAGGACAAATCAATCAATCAAATTATTTTTCACCTTGACTTAAGGTAAGATCTCTTAATAAATTAGAGTTCGCATGTAATTTTTCCGCAAAAGATTTACAGACAAATAAATCAGATATAAGAACCAAGAAATATAAACATCAACGAAATTGAATATCTAATACCTTTTTAAAAATAGGTATATGACTTGAATCTGAATGAAAATCGCCCAACGGATAAGTAAATTTATAGAGATTTTAAATAATAAATATATGAATTGTATAAAATAACAAATGTAAAGTAAACGTGAACCTGAACACAGGTAAGACTCACAAATATTGTTCTAGCTGAGTTAAGATGATCTAAAAAAATAAGAAGATAAATAAGTACGAAACTAATATTCGAATAGCGGACTACAGAGAACACATGCAATAAAAATGTAAAAATAATGTCAATATTGAGAAATATATTGTTGGTGAGTAGGCCCTAACTAGTTTCTCCACAGGTAACTTAAAGAATATCATATACAATGCAATAAACGATAAAACCATAAGTGAAATTATTTAATATGGAAAGGGACTTAGATTATAAAAAAGTAAAGGTAGTGACAGACACTCAAGATTTTGATAAAAAAAAAAAACAAAGGATATAGATCAAAATCAATAATGCAAGGCTTTTCAAAGGCAAGAATAACGAAAACAAAATAATTGAAATATTCAGAAATATATAGCTGGTGAGTAGTAGGCCCTAATTAGTTTTTCCACAGGTAACTCAAAGAATAAATACCATATACAATGCAATACACATTAAAACAATCAGTTACATTATAAAAAAGTAAGGATAGTAACATAGAGACTAAAGTTTTTGATGAATAAACCAAGGCTTTTAAAAGGAAAGAAAAACAAACTTAAGAAAGCTAAATCATGTATACAGAATATATCTTAAAGCTACCTAAGGACATATGAAGAAAGAAAGTCAAATCAATATAGTTGAACCGATAAAAAGCTAAAAAATTAAAAGGATGAAGAAATTAAATCAAGGAAGGAATAAAATATTTAAAAAAAATGAAGATTGACCGCTGTCAATATGAAAAGAGAATAATTCAAATGAAAGGGATAAAAAATGATGATCCAAGGTGAAATGAAAAAATGAACACACATACACGCCATGTTTTAAATAAGGCCGTACCAAGAAAAAAGACCGGACCAAGATGAAAGAAGACCTTATAATTAAATAAAACCACAGTTAGAAGAGTGGCAGTTTCAAGAAATAAGATCGGACCAAGAAAGAAGCCTGGACCAAAATAGAAAAACGGTCCGAGAAAGTAGAATGAAAAATTTAACCAAACCACACCAAGAAAGATGACCGTATGAAGAAATGAAATCGGACTAAAAAAGAAAACTGGACGAAAAAAGAAAAACTAACAAAAAGAAGACTGGATCAAGAAAGAAGACTGGACCAAGAGAGAAGACGGGTCTAAGGAAGGAGACTATCAAGAAAGGAGGCTATATCAAGAAAGAAGACGGGATCAAGAGAGAAGACGGGATCAAGAGGAGACGCGACCAAGAGAGGAAATCTAAAAAAAGAAGACGAGATCAAGAAAGAAGACGGGGTCAAAAAAGAAAGACAGTACCAAGAAAGAAGACGGGACCAAGAAAGAAGACGGGGCCAGAAATAAGACGCGACCAAGAGAGAAAATCTAACAAAAAAAGACGAGATCAACAAAGAAGACTGGACCAAGAAAGAAGACGGGTCCAGAAAGAGGACGCGGCCAAGAGAAGAAATCTAAAAAAAGAAGACGAGATCTAGAAAGAAGACTGGACCAAGAAAGAAGACGGGACCAAGATAGAAGACGGGACCAAGAAAGAAGACGGGACCAAGAAAGAAGACGGGACCAAGAAAGAAGACGGGACCAAGAAAGAAGACGGGACCAAGAAAGAAGACGGGACCAAGATAGAAGACGGGACCAAGAAAGAAGACGGGACCAAGAAAGAAGACGGGACCAAGAAAGAAGACGGGACTAAGATAGAAGACGGGACCAAGAAAGAAGACGGGACTAAGATAGAAGACGGGACCAAGATAGAAGACGGGACCAAGATAGAAACCGGGACCAAGATAGAAACCGGGACCAAGAAAGAAGACGGGACCAAGAAAGAAGACTGGACCAAGAAAGAAGACTGGATCAAGAAAGAAGACGGGACCAAGAAAGAAGACGGGACCAAGAAAGAAGACGGGACCAAGAAAGAAGACTGGACCAAGATGAAGACGCGACCAAGAGAGAGAATCTAAAAAAAAGAAGACGAGATCAAGAAAGAAACCTGGACCAAGAAAAAAGACAGGGCCGAGAAAGAAGACGGGATCAAAAAAGACAGACAGTACCAAGAAAGAAGACGGGGCCAGAAAGAAGATGCGACCAAGAGAGAAAATCTAACAAAAAAAGACGAGATCAACAAAGAAGACTGGACCAAGAAAGAACACTGGACCAATAAAGAAGACGGGACCAAGAATGAAGACGGGTCGAGAAAGAGGACGCGGCTAAGAGAGAAAATCTAAAAAAAGAAGACTAGATCTAGAAAGAAGACTAGATCTAGAAAGAAGACTGGACCAAGAAAGAAGACGGGACCAAGAAAGAAGACGTGACCAAGATAGAAGACGGGACCAAGATAGAAGACGGGACCAAGAAAGAAGACGGGACCAAGAAAGAAGACGCATCCAATAGAGAAGACCTTACCATGAAAGAAGACAAGATCAAGAAAGAAGACAAGATCAAGAATGAAGACAAGACCAAAAACGAAGACCAGACCAAAAACGAAGACCAGACCAAAAACGAAGACCAGACCAAAAACGAAGACCAGACCAAAAACGAAGACAAGGCCAAGAGAGAAGACGGGACCAAGAAAGTAGACCGGGCCAAGAAAAATGTTCGAACCAAGAAAGAATACAGACGCAGAAATAAAAAACAATCATAGGAGTTGAAATAATAAGATCAAATCAAGAATGAAATGAACCAAACGATTAAAAAGCATTCGAGAGAAAAGATTAAATGAATAAATGTGACCGAATAAAGTGAAAATACAGAATAAAGAAAGAAGACCAACCACTTGAAAAGACCGTGCCAAGAAAGAAGACTACACCAAGAAGCAAGACCATGCCAAGAAGGGGAAGATCGTGCCAAGAAGGAAGACCGTGCTACTGCCTAGAAGGAAGACCGTGTCACTGCCAAGATGGAAGACCAGACCAAGAACTTTCTTGGTCCGAAAGACCGGGCTAAGAAAAATCTTGAATACAGGTGAGCAAAGATTTACTACAAGAAATAAATATTTTAGTACACACAGCAGCATTAACGCGTTTGGTTACGACTGTAAACACTAAGGGTAAATAAATGGCTTAAAATCGAGTGAAGAAATTTGTCACACCTGATTTGCTGATTGTGCATTCTATCCTTTATTACAATAAGATAATACCTACTCGCATACTATTCATTCAATGATGTATTTTAACTAAGTTAATATGCACGTAAGCAGAATTTTATTTATTTAAGAGATTTTCTTTGCCAACAGATTCCAAACGATGATGCGTCAGACAAGTACATTATAGAACGAGAAAAATATTCAACATCGTGCAAGAAAATAATTTGTGATAAGAAATAAAAAGTATAATATGTATTATGTAATATCTTTTTATTTTACTAATAAAATAGTACCCAAAGTAATTTCATATTTTATTGTAGTTTTTAAATTATCTTTATTAGAAAAGGGTGGATATAGATATACCTAGATTTGGCGTTCCGCTAGTGTCGTTGGATATTGACAGTTGCTACCTTTATTTATTACAAACTAGTCTTAAAAGCTAAAGGATGTTTCTATCCATAACGCTTGCAAGATTAGATTAAAAACTCAAAGGTAACTGACTGACAGTGATCTATCAACGCACAGCTCAAACCACTGGACGGATCGGGCTGAAAGAACAATGGCCATCTGCCTAACATGCTTGGACTAGTAAAATCGAATAAAACGTAACTTGATGACACATATGTTATTTTGTTTACCTATGCAACTAGAACAAAGAAAGATATTAAATATATTGTTAAAAGCTGGGAGTTTCGAGTAATTGTGTAATATGTTTTCGAGGTTATGTCGTCTTATTTAAACTATAGCATTTTGAGTTAGAGGTACAGTTGAAATATGTAAAGCACACGTCAGATAATGCCTAATCGTAGTCCAAGAAGTGCATACTTTCACATAATACTTCAAACTTGCTCCATATCTGATATATTATTTTGGGGAATTATAAAACGATCGACTAAAAAAGAAAACTAGCGACTGATGATGGCATACTGTTTTAATAACTTGAGTGTTATGAATTTGAGTAAGCGGAATATTAACTTAACCAACGACGAATATTGATTAATGATCAATTTCAAAACGAGCTTACAAAAAGTGGGTTATGTTTAATCCATTTTAGATATAACATTTCTGTCCTTGCGACTATATTACTAAGTGGGCGACTAGATATACAAAGATAGATAGATTAGATTTTTCCAACTGAAGTTTTTTCCAACGAACTACTAAAAAGTTCATTTTAAGCAAAGTTTTGTCTGCTGCATTATTAATGCATTGGTTACTGTTGGTTTTTATTTTGACATGATTTCTTAATGAAATAGCATCTAATCCTACCCTAAAAGTATATTTAATTTACAACGAACTTTCGAAAGATTTAAACTGCACCGATAGCTTATTATAATTATTTTTATATGAGCTCATAATACTATGTTCATTGTTGTATTTTTCAAAATGATTTTTGTATTTGAAATACTATAAATAAGATAATATGCCGCGCAGTATAAAAAAAAAAACATTTGCCAAATATTGATAACAATGCAGGACGTAACGTTGGCGCTCAAACAAATATTAGGTCGTTCAAATATTAAGCAGCATCTCATTGTGTATTTTAAGTAACTTAAATTAATATTTATAAGTTGCTGTTCTGTTGATTTTATCTTCCGCAGTCAGTCGCTCACTTAGTAATACTATGACCACCGACCAATAAGAGAACTAGTTGACTATGACGTAAATTAATTATATTTGACACTTAAAACTTTAATTTACAGTCACTCGTTTTAATACTGCCCTATTATTTTTATTGACTGTAAGAAATAAAATCATTTTTTGTGAACCAATGAACATAAAAAAACATAATAGAATTTTTAAGATTGCTCTCAATAACTCTACTTTTCTATCTTACACTATTACTTATATAAAGTAGTAGTCAAAATACTAATTTCAAAAGGATATAGCAAAACAACATGTTGATTTTTCTTTTCTTTATTACAACTCTAATGAATACCTCATCACGGAATGCTGCAGGAGCAGCTACATTCTGTTTGTGTCTGGCCCATCCAAGATACCAAACTATAGTCATTATATGAGCACAGCATCCCAGTGTACATCGACCAATAAGACAATTACAGCAGTGTTCTCTTATGCCATCTAGCCATCATCTAGCCCGGATGCGTCATTATTTTTTTAAATGTACACATAATATTGTTTCGTCCCTATGTCTCGACTTAATTCTATCCCTTATAATTAGGACTTTATTTATATTGAAGTCTAATTCTAATAAATCCAGAATATCCGGTATTTTTCTCCAGACCTCAATTCTCTACTGCCCATGGAACCTAGTATGCTCCCCATAATACAGAAGATAATACAAAATCACCACCAAAGTTACAAAACAGACTGCGTAGAAACACGTCTACACCATAGAGGAATAATAATAGTCTACACATACTTGTCTAAAAAGGGAGGTCGCAATCGATCGAATACTGTAATATCGATTCTTATGAATAATCATTTGTTTTTAATTTCATAATAAATAAACTATTTTCCTCTGAGTAACATCTAATTATATTATATTTTTATATTATATAAGTTTAATTACTAATATTAATTATATTAGTAATCTAATCTAAGTTTTATAATTTTCACGTATTTATATGGTTAGTAAATAATATAAGATTTGTATCAAATTCGATTAGTCAGAAATAAAATCGATCTTGTTCTTTGAAAAGAGAGGGACTTCTCTAGGAATGACATTATTAATAAGATGCGTCCAAAAATAACATAATTTGAACTGCATTCTAAAAAATAAAGACATATTTTAGAGAGGATTATCTTTCTTTTCCCAGCTTTTAAAAATAAATTGTTGGTATGTGATAATTACATTCAACTTATATTACATTTTGGTGATAGTTCGTTAGTAACTTTTTTTTTCGTAGTCCATTTTGACCATTGTTCTTTGGCATACAGGTATAGTCTGTTCATCTTCCTCTGAGACAAAATGTAAACAAACTGGAAAAAGGTTCTTTAATATGTCAAAATATAAATGCATTTAGAATGAATGAAAAAAGTAAGTGACATTAAAACACCTAAAATTGAAGCTGTTCCCAAACATTGGACGTATTATAATACTACTAAATTGAGGAGTAGTGATAAGCTAAATACTTTACGTAGAAACGTGAAATTTTGTAATTTGTCAGTTTATACCGGCCATTTTTACTCTCGATCAACTCGTTGACTCGTGCAAAATGCTTTTGTTAAATTCTTGTTATTTGTTTATTCCAGTTGTTAAGTTTGTTGTTTTCTGTTATAAGTTAAATGAAATAAAATCTTCATTAACCGATGCTCTAAAAAGGGTAACAATAGGAAATTGACCGTTTTGTGATAGAAGTTGGTGCGACTAGTTCCTCAGAGGAAGACGGGGAAGATTCTGAATAAAATTATTTTACTCTTACAATTGCTAGTTTTATTTGAAAAGAAATAGACTTATTGTATTGCATACCTACCATACAATAATTTGTCCCATTAACAAATTTTATTTACATACCAACATCAATAAAAATGTTTGAGAAACATTGGTTTGTTTATTTACATTTTGTCTCAGAGGAAGTTGAATAGACTGTAGATGTAATGACGTAGGCATCCGCTAAGAATAGATTTTGATCAATTCTACCCCCAAGGGGATGAAGGTTTGTATGAAACTTTGACAATTTTAAACCGCATAAAGCTACTATGACGTAGGCATCCACTAAGAAAGGATTTTGATAAAGTGCACTCCTAAGGGGATAAAATAGGTGTTGAAACTTTATTTCAGGGTTTTTAGAGAATAAATATTGGTTAGAAATGCTGCTCAAAGTAATTTTGCCACGCGGACGAAGTCGCGGGGCAAAATTTTTTTTTAACTTCCCAAAAATTGATAGAGGGTCCTTAGATACTAAAAATATATAAAGT